TCATAGAAATCTCGAATGATTGGCTAGAAAAGGGTGCTAGCGACTGGCGACCTTTTAAGAAACGAATTACGGAAAAACAGATTAACAGAATCATATTATACTGTAGTATCAAACATTTTTCAAGTATTGCAACCATTGCAACTAACGGCCGCTCTTTCACCATTTGAAAACTAAAAAACTCAAACTCAAACTCTTTATTTGCCATAAAAAACATTACAAATTTGAGCATAGCTCATGTAACAGATGGCATGTCAATTATGCTAGAGTGTAAATTAATTATTACAATTAATTACAATTACAATTATTACAATTAATTATTAAAAAATCAAATACAATGGATAAGATACAGTCTAACAAAAATGAGAATATATACAGTACAACACCCCTGACTCAGACAGATGTGCTCATTTAAAAAAAAAAATCGTCCACTTTATAAGGACATGTTGCAGCTAGATGAGTTTCCAGTTTTCTTAAAAATGTGTTAGTTTTTTTTCTTTTTTTATCTCTGGTGGAAGGTGATTAAACAGTTTAATTGCCATGTAATATGGACCCTTCTCCAAAAGAGACAATCTATGTTTAGGGTACCGCAGAGTGTCTGTGTTTCTTGTACCCTGAGTCCCCAGACTGTTATTTGAAAAATATTGTTGATGTTTTTTAAAGAATTTCAGAACTTCAAAAATATAAAGAGCTGGTACAGTTAATAGTTTAGAATTTTTGAAATATTGTTTACATGATTTTCTAAATTTTAGTTTAAACATTGCTCGAATGGCCTCTTTTTGTAACTTGAATATCTTGACAATTACTGATGTCCCACCCCAAAGGATGATGCTGTACCTAACAATTGATAAAAAATAACCATGATAAACCTGAAGACATGTCTTTATATCTGAGATGTTGGCAATAGTTCTAATAGCATGAAGAGATTTATTAAGTTTTTTTTGTATGGCCAGAATTTGATCATGCCATTTTAAGTTGTCCTGAAGTGTAAAACCTAGAAAGTTCACACTAAGGGAATTTTCACAAAGTTCTTCATTTGGCATGAGGAATTCCTCATTTATTTGTTTGTTTCTATTGTTAGAAGTGAAAGCTAAGATTTTTGTTTTGGAGCAATTCAAACTAAGACAGTTTTTGGATAGCCAGTCAGATATTTCTTGGAGAGTATTTAAAAGCTTTACTTTTGTTATTTGTTTGTTTTGACCCATAATTATTGCTGTAGTGTCGTCTGCAAAAAGGTAAAGTGGAGTATTAATGTTGATTGGCAAATCATTAATGTACAACAGACAGGGCCGGATTTAGCATTTTTGCGCCCCTAGGCCCAAATAATTTTCCGCCCCCTAGTCTGGTCACAGTTACTTTTCTTCAAACCTTTATTAAAAACTATATCATGCCCATTGACCTAAGTTTATTGCTTAAATACCACTCCTCGTTGGAATCATTGCAAGTTTTTTTTAAGAATTATAGCCTTAACAAAATGCCGTCTTAAACACTTTTGTCAATTTTATGCTTTTGGCAAATGCTCACGCTTGTGGGACTGAAACAAAACAACTCAACCCACCGAGCATTCCTGAAAAAAAACATGGCCATTGATTCCAATTCCAGGCCAAAAAACATGATCTCCAAACAGTACGTGATACCATAGATTAAACATACTCCTTTAGTAGATTTGTCATCATTTTGGATTAGCTGAAAACAATTCTTGTTATTTAATAGTACCTAGTATGTTTGATCTATGTTTAAACCACGATTACTAGAAAAATACCTGTATGGATCATAAACATAAACAAATGACAATTTTGGCCCGAAAAAAACATGATTTAACATTGCTTAAATGGAACTGCCAAAACATATGTTCAATGCTATTAGTATAGGATTCGGGCCAACAACGTCATTTGTTTATGTTTATGATCCATAGCGGTATTTTTCTAGTAATCGTGGTTTAAACCTAGTTTATCTAAAATAAAACGATCTAATCATCAACAATAGGTCGTCTCCTGGTTATATTAAAAGAAATTGAAACACACATCATAGAACTAACCCTAAAACAATGGAAACAAAATTACGTCAAAACTAACGTCCAGTGTCACCAACATGAACTAGACATTAAAAAAATTTGAATTAAGAAGTCGACTTGGGTTATATTTAATCTATGGTCGTACTGCATCTAGGTTATATATTTCCAAAGCAAAACAGAGAAATATTCCGGCCAACCGTCGATCCTTAGGTCTGAGGAGAAAATGACAGCATTATTGGTGCTTTGGAGGGTATTGAATTTTTCTAATGCAAACTGAGATTAATATTTTTGGTTAATTTTAATGGTAAATTCATCGTTGTATTAATATTCAACACAACTTATTAACTTGATCCTGCAGATTGTTGTAAACTAATCAAAAGATTAGTTAATAACTTTTGTTTTGTGAGGTAAGGGTAGTAACAATGTCTAGCACGCATGCGCCCCTAATCACTCTGATCAGTAGTGCCGAGCCCAAACCAGCATAGTGGCAGTGCAGTGGCAATACGATGCGTACTCCTTGGGCGCTCGTAAACGTCAACATCCCTACAGCCTACTCCCGTATAACCAATGTTCGTTACCAATTTTGAAACGAAATTGATACGTAATTCTGAAAAATAGTTTAGATTTCGTAACAATTATTTCTTCTTATGAACTTCAGAATCACAATGCTTTGGAGTTTTTTTTATCAACTGTGACTATTTATTTTTTTTTTATTTTTAGATAGACTAGGTATAAAAAAAAAATACTCTCGGCCGTGCGCCCTCTGGGACCTTGCGCCCATAGGCCCGGGCCTACCGGGCCTATTGGGAAATCCGGCCCTGACAACAGAAACAATACTGGCCCTAAAATAGATCCCTGCGGCACCCCACAGACAACCTCCCTCCAAGTTGAGAAGTGAGCAATTCTGTCATCATCGAACATTTTAACTCTTTGGAATCGTTTTGTCAGATAAGATTCAAACAGGTCATGTGCTATGCCACTAAATCCATAATAACTCATTTTGGATAGCAGCAGTTCGTGGCTGACACAATCAAAAGCCTTGGACAAATCACAGAAAACTCCAAATGTTGTCTGTGATTCATCCAAGGCCCTCAACAAGTCACTCACCAGCTCAAATACTGCCATCTGGGTTGATCTTCCCTGTCTAAAACCGAATTGTTTTTCGTTAATAAGATTATACTTTTCTAAATGAGTAACCATTTGATTTAATATGATCTTCTCCAAAATTTTTGAAAATGATGGAAGCAGTGCTACTGGTCTATAGTTATCTAAACTTCTATTACAGTTTTTCTTATAAACTGGAAAAATGTTGGAAAATTTTAGTTTATCAGGAAAAACTCCAGTATGTAATACAATATTTGAGATGTGCACCAATGGATTCAGAATGATACTACTAATTTCTTTAATTAATGAAACTGGGATTTCATCCCATCCAGATGACTGTTTAGCCGACAAGCCTGCTATAGTCTTAATCATATCTCTTTTTGTGATTGGACTAAATGAAAAAGTTAAGCTTTGTATCTTTGCATTATTTATGTAATTTATTGCATCCTGAACTGAACCCCCTATGGAAGACTGTTGCCCCACACTACTAAAATGGTCATTAAAAACCTCAGCTATATCTCTTGGATCCTTTACAATGTTATTGTCACCAATTAACAACTCATTACAATGAAAACCATCTGAGATAAATCCAGTCTCTTTCCTAACTACTTGCCATGTTGTTTTTGCAATGTTATTAGAATGCTTGATTTTTGAAGATATACTATTTTTTTTGCTGCAAATACAAGTCTTTTAAAGATCTTTTTGTAGTTTTTATAGTACATTTGAAAACTTGGGTCAGAAGTCTGCTTTGATTTTTTATGGAGTTCTTTTTTATTCCTACTTGAGATTTTTAATCCTTTTGTCATCCAGTCACACCCATATTTAGAATTTTTATTTGAAGTAAATGTTCTAGTTTGAAAACATTGCAAAAACAAATCATAGAATACAGAGAAAAAACTATTATAAGCTTCATTACTATCTGCCGAAGACAAACACATAGACCAGTCCTCCTTACTTAACAGATTAGAAAAATGTTCAATTCTTTTCTTAGAACTTAACAATCTGGTTGAAATAATTTCCTTCTTAGTAACTATATTTTTGTTTTTTACGAACAATAACTGAGCAGTGTGATCAGATAAACCCAATTCTATTACCTCTACCCGTACATTTCTGGTCCCTATATTAGTGATAATGTTGTCGATACATGTCCTAGAAAGTTTTGTTATTCTTGTAGGTGTCAGTATAGTAACTTTGAAATTAAAAGACTTCAGAACAGAATTAAAAGTATGCTTTTCATTGTCATTACTCAGCTGGTTAATATTAAAATCTCCACACAAAAATATGTTTTTATTTTTTTTTTGAGTTTGCTAACAGGTTTAGAAGATGAGTAAGTTTATCTATGAAATGCTTAAAGCTGCTGTTTGGTGTTCTATATATGGCTACAACCAAACATTTTTCTCCATTGCATCCTACAGATAAATCGAGAGTTACCCCCACACATTCAAAAACCGATTCCTCATAAATCTTTTTATGCTGCTACATTCAGTTGCTTTTATATCATTCCTAACCAATATACATACACCTCCCTTCTGTTTTGTATCTCTTACACTTATTGAAATTAGCTTATAGTTATGAATTGTATGTGCAACATAGTAGTTTGACTCATTTAGCCAGTGTTCACAGATAGTCATCACTGCTGGACTTAGTTTGTTAATATCTAGAGATAATTCTAAATCAATTTTTGAGCTCTTCAGGCCCTGTATGTTAATATTCAATATTAATAGACTCTCGTCTTTAAAAATCCTTGTTTTATTTTTATGTATAGCTGTTATTCCGCTGTGAACACTGCCTGCCTTATCTCTAAAAAATTACATTCTTGAATATTATTTGTTTTTGAGGTTTCACTATAAGATGTGGGTTGACAATTAGTATCTACTCCCTTTACCATCTCTGAGAAGGAGAAGGGGCCATGAGTGATAATGGGGGGGGATTTAACTTTATCACATACTTTCTCAGACTGCTCATTCACTTCACTGGACACAGAGACACTGCTGCTACTGCTACTACGGCTGGACTGGTGCAAATCAGACGGCTCATGGTTGTTGTCATCAGGATAGCTGCTGCAGCGCCTTGGGTCGGACAATGTAGGAGGTGTCATTTGTGTTAGGTTCCTCATCAGTATATCTTGTAGGTTTGTAGCCATATTAGGTGACTTGCTTCCAGTACTAGGATTATTTTCTCTTCGAGCCATGTGCCTTTTGTTGTCAATTACAGCAACTGTAATATTTACCCCAGTATATTCTTGAAGTTTCAACAAATTCTTCATAAAAATTTCAGGTGGTATTCTGTCCCTCATACATCCGAGTGGTGAACAGATTAGTTGTTTGAGGCTATTCTTTTTAATGTCTACTGCTATCTCCTCAAACGCCTTTTCATAATCAGTAATAGAGGGTTTTTCAAAGTATTTTTGTTTGGTTACTAAACTGTAAATAGTAGAACCATTCTTTACTTTTTGCCTTGCTAGGTGTTGGTTTATAAAGTCATCCTTTGTTGGTTTGCCGAAGTGGTTCCTAAACACTACAGCTACACCTGCAGACATATTGTTTCTGTCCCCAATATCTGCAGAAATACAGTGTGCGAAGGCTGTGTCTGGTTGATCAGAAAATTGTTTAATCATCCCTGACATGTGGGCATTATTAATTTGAACATTTCTGATGTGAGAAATTGAACCTTGTTCAGTAGGAGAAGGATTTAATTCAGCAGTAAGCGGAGCTATTTTGACTTTTTGGTCAGATCCAGTATTCAAGGGTTTAGAGAGCCAGTTTGCGATGCTTTTGGATATTACTATCTTTCCTGCTTTATTTAAGTGCATTCCATTTCTAGTATAATGCTTTTTATAATTTAACAAATGGCTGAACATCAAGTACTTAACATTTTGTTTTATTGACAGGGATAATAGGCAAGAATTACAGTTTTCAATCTCAAAAAACTGTTCACCATTCTCTGGTTGTTGATAAATATAGGGTATTTCTGTCAATATAATTTTAGCCTTAGTATTTGTTATTAGATTTTCTATTTTGGACAGTACAATTCGAAAGTGGTCTGCATCTGTTCTGTTGGACCCACCAATAAGTATGATACAATCATTCTCCTTATATCTGTTGTTGCACTTCTCCAACTGTTCGACCACGTATAGCAGTGAGGCACCTGGATAGTAGCCGGATGAGACGGAGTACTGGGGCATTAGTGGAGTGAGGAATTGAGCTAAATCTCTTGCATGGCTGTCCCCTGCAATATGAAAACGGGGTTTATTTTCCATCTTAGTAGGGGGCTGTACATTTCTGGTTTGACTTACTGTATCATTTAAATGTCGGTCACGAGATTCTATTGATGGTTTGTCCTTATTTTCTTTAGTGATTGGTGGTTTAGCCTCTGTAACTATAAACTTATTAGTTCTGTATGTTTTTTTGTAGCGTTTATTTGCTCTTAAGATTCCATTTTGTTGGTCTGTGGCTTGTGGAGCTTTGAGCTTAATCAGTCCTCTTGATGTTTTACTGTGAGGATATTTTTCCGCATCATCTTCATGAAGTTCAACCAGGACATTAAATTTGTTTCTAGTTTCTGTGTGATTTATTGATGATTCAAATTCTTTCCTTGTTTTTTTTCTTCCTAATCTTCTTACAGTTTTCCATGTGTAATCATGTTTAGTTTTAGTGGTCCTGTCACATGTCTCCTCTATATGTTCATTGATTATCCCATTTTTAACAGGGTGAGAGATCTCACTCATGTTTTTGTTAACACCAGAGGCCACATTATCACAGGAGGATCCAACAAAAAAATGAATTGAACCACTCATGAAGAGGCATTGCACTGTTTAATGGGCTTCTGCAGAAACATTCAGCTACCAGCTTTGTGTTAACCAAGACGTTTATGCCACACTCAAAACTATTTTTCTGTTGAGTGCAGGGGATATTCACGAGAGTACTGTTATCAAAGTTGAGTTTATTCATCAGTGATAGGGCACTGGACTTATTAAAGTTTGAGTTAGAGTCAAAATGGTATACCAATTTTCTAATGTTGTCAAAAATCAAAAGGCTCCAGTGAGAGCCAGAGTCATCATTGTCAGGATTAAGGCTGTCGTTCAAGCAGCATAAAACATAATTATGTTTCATAAACATTAAAGTATCCATTTCAGATTGGGCCTCTTCCTGGCTGCAATGTTTAAGTATTTGAGTTGAAAAAGGGCCAAGAAACAGGACGGAGTTGTTAAGAGCGGGATCACTACTGAACGCATGAAAGTATGATTGGAGAATGGTATCATCTACCCAACGGGCTTTGGACCATGATGCTTCATCCGATTTTAAGAGTTTTGAAACTTTTGTAGCATTTGCAGTGTCACCAGCTTCTTTTTTCGACTCTAATTCTAAAATTTTCTTCTCTAAGAGGGTTTTTTTATTCATCAGCAAATTTATCTTTGTTTTTAAATCTTCATTATCCTTCATGGTTAGCTGGAACTTAGATTGTTCATTACTAAGTTTATCCATCTCCTTTTTGCATGATTTCAATTCCTCTTTCTCTTTCATGTGATCCTTAAGTTGAGTCCTATACATCAACTTGTCATCTTCTAGCTGAGAAATTATATTATTCTTATTTTCAATTTCAGTTTTCATTTTTTCATATAAAGATTGAGTTTTATGTACGTGAACACTTTCTTGTTTATTTATTTCTTCTGTTAGGATATTTACTTTATCCCGTAGTTCCTTGATTATTTCTTCAGCCTGCTGTTCAGCCTGGTGTCTGTCATTTTTCAAGTCATGAATTTGCTGTTTTAATTTGTCATTTTCCTCAAGCAGTAGTGAGCCTGCTTCAGCAGCAATTGTAAGTAAAGCGTTTAGGTCCATCTCTCCATCAATATCAATATCTTGAATTTTTCCTTTTAATGTAGCTAGGGAATTATTGTGACTAGCCATAAAACACTGTAAGCCATAAATTTCTGTAGCTAGTGAGAGAGAAACATTACTGTCATAAGTTGTGTCTAGTTTATCCTCATCAATAGTTTCCGAAACATTATCTTCCCTGCAAGTTGGACATTTCCAGACCTTAATCTCATTGCTGGACATACTTTTTACCTTTGAATACGTTATATTAATACATTTAAAATGAATCCATTTATTACAATGTCCTGTGCAAAGTATAGCTGCTTTCTTAGCATATTTAAAACAAACTCCACAGTTGCTTACTCCAATTTTATCCATCATTCAATAAATAAACCAATAATGTCAAAGTTATTCTTGGCTTAATGTAGGCAGCAAAAGGGTTATGTACAGGCAAGGCCTAAAATAATTGAAATTGTCTGCAATTCATTCAGTAGTAAAAAATAGCCAAGGAATATTTAGCACAAAAATAAAATATTATAACATCAAAGATTACAGCATGCACTTAAAATACCCCCGCCGCAGCAAACCTGCCGTCTAAGCGAATTTCCATTTGGCTGAATTGATTTTCAATCGATCTATTTAAATAACATTAGGTTTAACGAGTACCTAGGTTTGCTGCTACAAGGAAACTAATAAAGTGTGTATTTTAAGTAAAATAATTATTGCTTAGTAGAAAATGAATACATTTGCCAAGTTTGATCAAAAGATATCCATAAACAAGCAAACTACAACATTTTAAAATATTCTCCATAAGAATAACAATGGGAATTTTAAATTTACAATTTTTTTAGTTTTCTCCGTAACCAATAACCGTACAAAAACACTTTGATATACTGAATTGTTTGTTTTTTTAAGCTCTTTAAGAAGGTTTAGAGAAAAATCGGGAAATTTTGTGTTTTGAGGGTCAAAAGTGAGAAAAACCAATTTTTACCCCATAAAACCCCCATAAAACCCTGTTCCCATGGTGCGATCATGCTGGATCGCGAACTCATTCAAGTTTATCCCGCCTTACACCTTCAAACCAAATTTCATCAAAATCGGATAAAAATTACTCAAGTTATCGTGTTCACGGACACATATATATATAAATCTATATATATATATATATATATATATATATACATATATAAAAATTTGAACGAATGGTGTTTTTGGCCTCTGGGGACATCAAAATGAAAAAGTAAATCGGTCCCGGGCCTAAGTCTTACCATGAGACCTACGGTAATAGCTACTTCCCTATAGGGAAATTCGCTAATAGCTGTGCACATTAAAATAGGTTATATTTTTATTTCACCCATAGTTAAATTGTTCCTTTCCTTAAGATTAACTGTTTAATATTATATTGCAGGTAGGTTTACATAGGCTCAGGAATATTGCTTGCCAACTAACAATGCCCACTGATAAGAGATAAGACCTTTTAGTCCTGCATCATTGTTGGCCTAGGCACAATGACCTTGCAGTTTATGTTGATTTATCTGCAAATCCCACATTATTACATTGATGTTCAGTGTCTATCAGTTACAGTGGTTCAGTTAATATTCACTGGAGAAGGTAAAGTGAGGTCCGTGAAGTTGGCGTACCCATATTAGCGTATCCACTTTTGATCATACCAATCGTTAGTTCATCGTTAGTTCTCGATAGTTCCCAAATTTTTTTGTTAGTTCTCAAAAAATTAAAAAGTTATAGCCGATTATAAGTGGGTACGCTAACTTCACACTTCCGGGTTCTAGCACGCACCGTTTTCCGAGGAGAAATGTTTACATCTATATATCAATCGCTAGTTCTTCGTTAGTCCTCGATAGTTCCCAAATTTTTTCGTTAGTTCTCAAAAAATAAAAAAGTTATGAGGCATACAAAGTGGGTACGCTAACTTCACAATTGTACAATTTCCAGCGGGAACAGTTTTTTTACTATAAATGCCTATATCTATATACCAATCGTTAGTTCTTCGTTAGTTATCGATAGTTCTCCAATATTTACGTTAGTTCTCAAAAAATAAAAAAGTTATGAGGCATACAAAGTGGGTACGCCAACTTCACAATTATAGAATTTCCAGCGGGCACAGTTTTTTTTACTATAAATGCCTATATCTATATACCAATCGTTAGTTCTTCGTTAGTTCTCGATAGTTCTCCAATATTTACGTTAGTTCTCAAAAAATAAAAAAGTTATGAGGCATACAAAGTGGGTACGCCAACTTCACAATTATAGAATTTCCAGCGGGCACAGTTTTTTTACTATAAATACCTATATCTATATACCAATCGTTAGTTCTTCGTTAGTTCTCGATAGTTCCCAAATTTTTTTGTTAGTTCTCAAAAAATAAAAAAGTTATGAGGCATACAAAGTGGGTACGCTAACTTCACAATTGTACAATTTCCAGCGGGAACAGTTTTTTTACTATAAATGCCTATATCTATATACCAATCGTTAGTTCTTCGTTAGTTCTCGATAGTTCCCAAATTTTTTCGTTAGTTCTCAAAAAATAAAAAAGTTATGAGGCATACAAAGTGGGTACGCTAACTTCACAATTGTACAATTTCCAGCGGGAACAGTTTTTTTTTACTATAAACGCCTATATCTATATACCAATCGTTAGTTCTTCGTTAGTTCTCGATAGTTCTCCAATATTTACGTTAGTTCTCAAAAAATAAAAAGTTAAGAGGCATACAAAGTGGGTACGCTAACTTCACAACTATACATTTCCCAGCGGGCACCGTTTTCTGACTATAAATGCTTATATCTATACACAAATCGTTAGTTCTTCGTTAGTTCTCGATAGTTCTCAAAAACGTACACTCAACTATTCTTTCAAACATTCACAGCATCGTTCTTAAACAGTTTAGAAATACGTTTAAAATTAAATGTGTTGGATTATTAATATATACCGAGAATAAATATTTTTATCTTATGATAAATTAGTTATATTAAAATAATTAATTAAAATTTAGTTTAATAATTTGCAAAAAAGGGGTTTTATTCAAGTTCCATGCCTATAGCCGGCTCCAGACTGTACCTACGCTCGCAAGTAGTATGACAGCAAATGCTCGTGCTCGTGTTTTCCGTTCATTGCCGGTATTTTTGCACACATCAAAGTGAACGAATATTTTTGCCATTCCCGAAACGAACAGTTGTTGGGAAAACAACACATGTGTGCAGACGTTTGTTTTACTCGTTAAAAGGCGAATAGCAAGACAGCTATATCGTCGAACGGCAAATATACGACATATTTGGGAGTGGTTGTTTTGGGAGTGGCGCATGTCTGGAGACAGCTTATTTTGTTGACGGAAGAACTTGAAATGGCGTTTGACACGGCTTAGGAAAAGTTGAAAACCACTCTTATCTAGTAATATAGGAGTTTCAATATCTAAATTCATAACAAACTCTCCATATAATAAACATTTTAAAATACTTTTAGATTTACATATGGTAATTCGATTGATGATTTGATATAATATTAAGTCCTAAAGGAAAGCAGGTAATGTACAACAAATGTTAAGTTTGAAATGTTCATTTATAGTCGAAAAACGGTGACCGCTGGAAATTCTATAATTGTGAAGTTGGCGTACCCACTTTGTATGCCTCGTAACTTTTTTATTTTTTGAGAACTAACGTAAATATTACAGAACTATCGAGAACTAACGAAGAACTAACGATTGGTATATAGATATAGGTATTTATAGTAAAAAAAACTGTGCCCGCTGGAAATTCTATAATTGTGAAGTTGGCGTACCCACTTTGTATGCCTCTTAACTTTTTTATTTTTTGAGAACTAACGTAAATATTGGAGAACTATCGAGAACTAAAGAAGAACTAACGATTGATATAGATATAAGCATTTATAGTCAGAAAACTGTGCCCGCTGGAAATTCTATAATTGTGAAGTTGGCGTACCCACTTTTTATGCATCGTAACTTTTGTAATTTTTTAAAAACTAACTTAAATATTGGAGAACTAACGAGAACTAACGAAGAACTAACGATTGGTGTATAGATATAAGCATTTATAGTCGGAAAACGGTGCCCGCTGGAAATTCTATAGTTGTGAAGTTGGCGTACCCACTTTTTATGCTTCGTATCTTTTTTTTTTTGAGAACTAACGTAAATATTGGAGAACTATCGAGAACTAACGAAGAACTAACGATTGGTGTATAGATATAAGCATTTATAGTCAGAAAACGGTGCCCGCTGGAAATTGTATAGTTGTGAAGTTAGCGTACCCACTTTGTATGCCTCGTAATTTTTTTATTTTTTGAGAACTAACGTAAATATTGGAGAACTATCGAGAACTAACGAAGAACTAACGATTGGTATATAGATATAGGTATTTATAGTAAAAAAACTGTGCCCGCTGGAAATTCTATAGTTGTGAAGTTGGCGTACCCACTTTTTATGCTTCGTATCTTTTTTTTTTTGAGAACTAACGTAAATATTGGAGAACTATCGAGAACTAACGAAGAACTAACGATTGGTGTATAGATATAAGCATTTAAATTGTATAGTTGTGAAGTTAGCGTACCCACTTTGTATGCCTCATAACTTTTTTTATTTTTTGAGAACTAACGAAAAAATTTGGGAACTATCGAGGACTAACGAAGAACTAACGATTGATATATAGATGTAAGCATTTCTCCTCAGAAAACGGCGCGTGCTAGAACCCGGAAGTGTGAAGTTAGCGTACCCACTTATAATCGGCTATAACTTTTTTATTTTTTGAGAACTAACGAAAAAATTTGGGAACTATCGAGAACTAACGATGAACTAACGATTGGTATGATCAAAAGTGGATACGCTAATATGGGTACGCCAACTTCACGGACCTGGTAAAGTGTACTTTTAGTTTATAGCTCCTATTTCATACATGTAGATTATTTACCTAAAATTCACTGTAGGTTATGTGGTGCTGTTTTATGCTTCTAAAAGAAAAATTTTCACTAAAAACTGCAGTCTATCCATTCAATTTGCAATAAATTGGTAGAACTTGAATATACAACAAAATTTTCAACATAAAACTTGTTTAAAATTTAGAAAAATATCAATTATTCAGGATCACAAACAGTCAGACTGTATCAAGTTAACCTCACTTTCATGAAGGTGACTGTTGCTAATGCTAGCAACAGTCACAAGTAGCTCAGAGGTAAGGTAAGAGGCTCATAAGTCGAAGGACCCAGGTTCGAGACCCACCCGGGCTAAAAAATATTTATCCAGTAATTTTTTCAAAATTTGTTTTTATGAACTATTTAATCAATTTACTCAACTGATAATTGTGCTTTTCATACTAAATCTTCATTATTTTATGTTTTTATGTTTAGGCCCCATGAGATGTTTGGAAGAGATATTAAATACATTTTTATTTAAATATTATTCACTAAAATATATTATTGGAACATATTTTTTTAATATTTAATAGATTCAAAAACATATTTTTTTATACATATAATATATTTTAAATATTATATAAAATTGACATTAATACACACTTGAGATATAAATAATAGATTTTGAATATATTTATTCATATGTATTTAATATATATTTGTGCTACTAGGGATGAGAAAGATTTAGGGTTGAGAGGAGCTGAGTAGTGTATTAAGATTGAATTTATAACAATGGTATTATTCAGTCATTGAAGGTGGTTTATCAGTGATTGTTTGTTGTAGTGTAGGGTCAACAGTCAGGTTGGCCCAAAGTGATAACAGCCTGGGTATCCTCTGAACCCAATTCTAAAAGCCACTCAAATACACTTAATAAATTAAAGAGATGGACAATTTAGAATGTCAACATTTTAGTACATTTCACATATTAGATAGATAATTTAGGTTAAATGAAAGCAGTTTGTTTGTGAAAATGATTTTATAAAGTGGAACTATACCAATGTTTTGAGAGAAGCTCTTGTTGTGTGAATGAGTTTTTTTCCAAGGGTATCTAAATTTGTAATTAAATAACTTTTGATAACAACTGTGAAATTCTCAAAACTCTTGATTCCACAAAAAGGTTATAAGTTTAATTTCTCAAATGTTTTTAAAAGCAACTTTTAGTATTGTTTTCTGCACTAAAAAAGAGGCAGCAGGATAGTTTTACAAGCACCACCAAAAGTAATCATTCCAAATGATAACAATAGTTGAATAGTATATACACAGAATGTGATTTTAATTTCTCCCCCTTCGAGAATATCATTAAGTTGTTTAAATGCACACATAAATATATTCATTTATTTTCCATGTGTTCCGACCACTTTATCTTTGAATCGAAAACAATACCAAGGTATTTGAATTAATTTTTCTCAATTTTACTAAAAAAACGCAAGTTATTAAAATGACTTCCACAGACATGGATGGTTTAGCTTTTCAAGTTTGTTGTCACTCCAGCATTCTAAGATCAATCTGGGTATAATTAACACTACCACGTGAAATGGAAGTAAATGACCAAATATATCTGGAAAAGTCTGAATCTGGATTTAAAATGTCCCAGGTCCATAACTGTATAGTTCTAAATCTGTATCTATCTGTTCTATCTGTAGTTCTGTATCTTTCTAAGCTGTTTGCCTCATACTTGTTTGGGAATTCACCCAAATATCTCTGTAACAAATACACTCACTGTATATCATTATTAGACCACTGGTGTTATCAAAGCAGACCCCAGAACAGTGGCCATAGACAAGACATTGATAAGGATATATTTGATAGTTAATTTACTTCCTTTATATAACCATCATGGTACTAAAAATTTACTCAGATTTGCTTAGAATGCTAGAGTATAGTTGTAAAATCCTCATATGCTTCATATGGATTGTACATACAAAAAATACCCATGCCACTGCAAACCTGTAGGCTGAGTGAATTTAATTTTGTCTGATTGGATTTTTAAGTAAATATTACCACAAACAAGTCATAGTTATTTCCCACTCAGATAACATTATATTTAATGGGTACTTAGTTTTGCTGCAATGGAGCAGGGAAAAGTGTTTTTTTTTTTAATATAATGTTAGTGTCATATTTAATAAATAATTTGCTAAATTGTAAAAATAATATATATAAAGAGTTAGGCAAAAGTCTGGAACCCCCCAGTTAACTTTTTAACGCGTTGCAGTAGGAAAACCAAACTCGGTACATCATACATACATACATATTTACAACATAAGAAATTGCACTTTTTCATCAAAGTTACAACTTTGCCCTAGCCCCCAAAATGGGGTATTTTGGGGGCAGTCCCAAATTTTCAAATGTAAACGCCTATCTTGTGCCCCTCATTTTAAAGGGTTTCTCAAGACAAATTAAATGGTCCAAACTAGCTAGGTCAATATCGCACCTCTAATCAAAATGGCAGCCATTTTAATTATTTAAGATGAGCTAGCCAGATACAGTCTGGACACCCCCAGATAACTTAAAAAATTAATATTTTAATACTGACCAAAAGGTGAATTCTCTTTTTTTATAAAGGTATGCTGAGTTTAGTTTTCCTGCTATAACCTGTTAAAAAGTTAATAGGGGATATTTCAAAATTTCAAAATTTTAAAAATAGGGGAAATTGGAAAAAGTCCAATTTCTTATGTTGTAAATATGTGCCGAGTTTGGTTTTCCTACTGCAACGCATTAAAAAGTTAACTGGGGGTTCCAGACTTTTGTCTAACCCTGAAGATAAATCCAAGTTAACTTCAACCGCTTTCTTTATCTCCATAAGAATAACATAAGAGTTTTAAGTGTAAGTTAAAGTTTTTTCTTATTTTCTTGGTAACCTATTGTACAGATATACTTCAATTTACATTTTTTATTTTTTAAAGGGCTCTACACAATGGCTGTGATAAAAGTTAGAAATTTCCATGTTTTAAGGGTAAAAATTTGAAAAAGCCCAACTTTGTTTTTCACATGACAAATCCAATGAACTATGTAACTTTTATTGTTTCTTAACTTTTATAAATGACTAGCCTAGATACTTTTCGGTATTTACTCAGGCCAGGGCTAAATATCTGAGTAAATATCCATTAATAAATACCCTACCCACTGGGTATTTTCCTAACCCACATCACTGAATGGGCATATCGTCAAACCAGGGGTATAAATGGAAGTTCAAAGGTTGTAAGAAAGTTTAAAAACAGTAGTTTAATACTTATTTGGTTTTTTATACACACAATTATAATACTGTAGCAAGTACAAATAGCTTAGGCCTGGTAAGTTAAAAACTTCTTATATCAAAATAATTTGATGCTGGGCAGCAAGTGCGGTTAGGCCTATGGTGATAATCTGACATTCTAAAGGTCGCCAGTTCAGTCTGAGAAAAAGTAATTTTCCTACAGTTACCTAACAATGTACATGTTCTCTCACTGATTTGAGAAAGCAAAGTGGCCAATTCGCTCATCAGTGAGACAATGTTAACATTGTCTCACTGTAATTACTTTTTCTCACTCCAGATTTTCAACGTGAAGGCACGAAATAGTGAGCGCGTAACATGCAGGCAACGCCGTATGCGCGCGAAATTCCGTGGCAGCACTGGCTGTAAATCAGCTGGTCAGCTGTTGTACTGTTGTATTTGTCACTTCACATTAAATGTTAATATTAAAAGTTCACTTCTGTGTAAAAATAGGTTATGTTTCTTCACCAATTTATTTGTTTAATGGTAACTGTAGGAAAAGTATAATGTGTAACTCGAGTTTAAAGTACAATTGCCTCACTCGAGAAACCATTCCTCACTCGCCTACGGCTCGTGAGTAAGGATTTCTCCTTTTGTTGGTTCAATACTGGCCCATCAGTCCTCAATTATTGTTCTTTTCCTAAATGGTTGTGGCTAAAAAACTGATATTAATCAGTAAACAAATTTACACAGTTCGTTCAATCCCATTCTACACTCATGTTCTATTCAAATTTAGCTGAAAGTAACAGTAGGCACCTAAGTGGCATCTGTCCAGGGTTGCATTAAGGGTCAGTGGAGCCCTGGGCAAACCCAAAAGCAGTGCCCCCTTTTTTACTAGTGCAGGCAGGCGGTGGTTGAGGGGCACCCGGTGGGCGCCCCCAAACCTCCGGCGCCGCTGGGCATATGCCCAGTCTGCCCGTTTATAAATGTGGGCCTGCATCTGTCCAAAATTATGATCAGGTTGTAATTAAAAGAATAATTATTTTTTACCAAAATATATGTATTTTATTTTCCAAAAGGTTTTCTAAAACTACAGAAATTTTTTTACATGTTTGAATCTGGAATATACAAAAACATAATTTTTTCAGATGGACTAATAGAAGAAAAACAGTTTGATAGTACCTATATGTAAATTATACATTAACATTCTTAATAGATCCTTTAGTTCTGATTATAACATTTTTAAGACAAATTAAGTAGGTACTTTTATTGACTTTTTTAACAAGAAATACACAGCCTATTGGAGGAGACATAAACATTGATTATACAAATTATGATAAGCACAAATGTTTATAATATATGTTAAAAAGCCGTAATATGAGGTATTTGGTTACATTTCCAAATAGAACAACTGAAAATTCCAAATGAACCACAGATAATTTGTTTATAAAAAATACAGAAAACGATAACATTTCAATATAAGGCATAGTAAACCTGCTTGTCAGATCATGATGGACAAGTATCTTTCAATAATCTAAATCCAATAAAAATACAATACACAAGATGTAAAATCAGGAAGTATGTATATATTTTCTCCAGAAAACATTGTCCACTTTTCAGAAATGAAATAACTTATGGAGAGAAGTATATTTTGCTCCAGTGGAAGGAAAATGTAATGTTTTCCTAGATATTTTCAGTTAGGCTACGGTTACCTATTACATTTAGCTTGCATTTCCTAAAAAAAAATCTAACTGGATGTAAAAATAAACAAAAACTGTAAGACAATAATCACAAATAACTACACCTATTTAATGAATTCAGGAGTAGGCTAAATAATAAATACAACTAATGAATTCAGGAATAGGCTACATAAGAAGTTCAACTAGAATTCATGCAAAATATAAAGACTCCAAATTAAAACTCATCCTAATAGTTTACAATTTGACGAGAAATCCAACATATTAGAGAAAGAATTTTTGTCAATTAAGTCTAAAAATAATAAAATTAATAATTCGAAACACATCTCAAGCGAAATATGCAAATTGAATCCTTACTCATACAATTATGTTTCATTAAGATTTTGTGAGTTAGGCTACATGAAGACTATAAATGTACGGTATCTCATTTATGAAAAATTGCTAAAAATATTTTTAAATTCTGCAAACCAAAGATGAGTTAATTTTATGGCACTTATAAAAAGATTAAACTATGTACGGAATGTACAGTTTGTATACCTACAAATTTTAAAACTACAATATGAAAATGAGCTCTGCACGTATAACAGTTCAACTTACTGAAAAGGGTTTGCCTCTGGTGAATCTGGAGATCAAATCTACACTCCACTTAGGTTGGTCCATCGGTACCATATGACCAGCATTTCTAACAAGAACCACATTCAAATTTCTTGCTACTCTTGAATAACCAGCAAGTTCTTTTCCAACAAACCATTGTTTTCTTTGGGCGACTTTATAATCCTGGGCACCATTCCAGTTTAAGGCATCCACAAAACTTTCAGTCAGAGGAAAAGCAACAATTATATCCAACTGTCCGTTGTATATAAGCACCCGGTAATTGGCATTCAAAAGAAATTCGATTGTAGGTTTTACAGATTGCATGATATCTTCGATAAGATTTTTTTCAACATCAACAGCTTCAACATGAAAGGTGGCATTTCCAACATGGAGGTTTTTCCTGATATTTACATTAGAAAGGAATCTCCCCATATCTCCATAAGTGCTATAGTCTTGATTGTAGAGATAGTTGAAATAAAATGAAAAACCAGTCAAAGTTTTGAAAATTGATGTTCCATTGGTGAGATCGCCGTTTAACAGAGCATCAAATTGATTGAAGGCAGATTTCCAATTCTTTTGCTGAATGCTTTTTACAATCTCTTGTTCTTTTTTAAGAAACAAATTTCTACCATTGCTATCAAGCAATCCGATCTGGTACAAATAGTTACCATACTGCATCATGTGTTCGGGGTCACATAAACCATTGCCAATAGCCACTCCTTTAAGATTTATTTTGATTTCCGCTTGTTTATTTAGATTGTGAATTGCGTAAGCAGTAGATGGTACATACTTCCCAGCATAAGATTCCCCTGTGACAAAAAAGTCATTCTTTTGGTATTCTGGGAAAAGTGTAAAAAACTGATATAAAGCTGAATAGAGATGCTTACCAACTTCAGCCTCGTTTTTAACATAGCCATCGGCATTTGTAAAACTAAATCCAGTACCCACAGGATTATCAATATAGATCACATTATGATCGTGAGTCCAAGTATATTCGCGCAGCTTGAGTCCATGTTTCCTTTTCACTGAAAATGGTCCATGTTCGGCAAAGAGTCCATACAGTGATGTCGCACCTGGACCACCTTGAAGCCAAAGTATAACTGGAGCAGAAGCATTATTCTGGTAAGCAGGAAAAAACCAAAAAAACATATTTGAATTATAAGCTGGATCAACAGTAAAAAATCCTGCATAACTAGAAATGTTGCTTTTCATTGGTGTCATTTTGCATGCCACACGAGCTTCTTGAATTTTTTTTGCTTTTATGAGTGGAGTTAGGATGAGGGGGAGTCCGGGATCATCCCCAAACCCACCTTGAATTGGGTAATCATTTATCTTCGGGTATATGTGAAAAAGTCCGGAACAACAGTTTGCAATACAAAGAAAATACAAACCTATAAAAAATGAATAGAAACTGAACATTTTGTTGACTGTTTTCGATTTAAGTATGATTGCAAATAAAAAAAAAAACTTATTAAAAATCAAACATGCCGAGTATTGGTCAGTAAGCTAACAGCACAAATCAAAATGAACTCAACACTCAAAGTCACTGTGCACCACTGCAACTGCACGCACACACAACACAAACGACAAACACAATGGTAATGGTTTGGTTTTCGTTTTGTTTTCACTGTTGTTTTTGTTTTCAGTCAGGGACATGACAGTTGACAGTTAAGGCTTTTGAAGTTAAAAAAAAGGGAACGGCTGTGGGGTGGGGCCGGGGCAAACCTCAAAGGGTCAGCTGCGTTTGCTCTTCAGCGTTGCCAACGTACTGGCAGTTCAAAGTAAAAAACACTCTGTTAAAGAATAACAATTCCTAATGTATACTTACAGTTCCAAAACGAAAAAAGTAATTTTATTTTTGTATTTTATGGAGTGCTACCTTGTAAATATATTAAATATCATGTCGTATTAGATCATCATCAATTCCAAATAAAAATTCTTTATGACAATATCTTTATGACAATCAAGTATGACAATCTATATGGATGTCTTAGTGTTTTCAAAACCACCATAGTAACAATAATACGATTAATCTTGTAAGATAAAAGATATAACTTTTCTGTTAGTATGCTTTCCTAATACCTAGAACAGAATAAAATAATCATCTCGAATGTATGTGTTTTGAAATGAAATTACACTTTCACCGCGATGGTCGTCCTTCTCCTTTTAAGACAAAGGAGTAGACGATCTTGATTCAACTCAGCAGGATTTTTTTATCTGAAAAAAGGTGCTTGATACCGTGGATCACGACCTGCTGCTCCAAATAATGAGTAAGATAGGAATACGAGGCCATGAGTCGGGCTTACCTAACCTCTGCATTAGCATAGATACCAAATGGTATATAGTCAATAGCATAGACTAACCAACACCAGCTAGTATTTGCCCATATTATTAATAAATGAGCAGGTGTCACATGTCTGTTATGTTAGTTTATGGAACGTTTGCCAATTCTACCAGGCTGCGGCTTCGAAGGTGGCCGTGGACTGACCTTAGATGAACATCATTACCTCCACGATCAGTGATCACATCAATATGTTTAATAAAACATGAGCCCTGGAATTTCTGTGTTGCGTTTTTTAAAGAACACTGCAAACTACGACGTTAATTATATCCATACATAGGACTCATTTATCCTCAATTAGCATATGCTTTATCTCTATGGGGCCATGAATAACAAAGTTTCTGTTTAAATTCCCAAAAAATGTCCAGTAAGAAAATTGTTTGCCTTCCCAAATGCCGATCCTACAGACAATTAATTCTTCTACGAATCAATATTCTAACTCTTCCATCCATCTATAATTGTTGAAACTCTCACTTTTGTCAAACAAAATCTTCAAATCTCCAGCTGTTGCTGTTCTCCAATTTAGAAAAAACACGTCGCATTATACCATATTCTCTTCATAATTTCCATTATTTACCAGTTCACTCAATCTGTTTACAAAAACATTATTGTCTTTACAATAGCATCCACCCGTGTGGCGTTGTTGGTCTCCCATCGGGTGCCTCTCCCCGGGTGGATTGGGGAAAGCTCGTCAGATATGACGGGTGCCAGGGAAATAAAATACCCCGGGGCGAACCAAAACTAACACTGCTGCCTCTTGTAGTTTGGGAGAGGATCATAAAGGCTAAAGGAAGAAAACCTTGAGGAAAAATTACCTGGTCCTCCTGGAAAGGTGTTAGGCGTAAGGTTAACACCCTTACCCTGGATAATGCATTTGTTAGGAACCATTCAAATGAGCCTCAGAAATAATTTTGAACAGTATCACAATTTTTAATAGTGAGAGTTTGATTGTTTAACGTAAATGGGGTAACAGAGTGCTCGATCGAAGGCTAGGGTTGATAAAGGGTCATGAGGATAGACTCCCAAGTGCACAGTAGTTTCATCCAACAGGACCTCATCATCAAGCTCTCTTTTAGCGAATTTCCCATCATAGGGGATAAGCTATTACTGTAGTACTCATGGTAAGACCTGGATCCGGGACCAATTTACTTTTTCGTTTTGAGGTCCCTAGAGGCAAAAAAAACCAACCGTTAAAATGCATATATATGTGTGTGTGTGTGCGTGCGTGTGTCCATTATCACGATAACTCGAGCAAAAATGATCCGTTTTTGATTAATTTTGATATAAACCTGTAAACTCACATTATTATTCGAACGAGTTCGCGAGTCAGCATGATCGGACTATGAAGAACGGTTGTCAGACTTCGGAACGGTTATGGGGTGAAAGTATGGCCTATTTTGACCCTAAAAACATAGAAATTTGCAATTTTTTTATTATTTTGTAGAGCTTAAAAAACAACTTTGTCTGCGATCCCCGTTCAGGGTGATGTACACATTGAGGATCTTCGACAGCATCTTCGGCTAAACCACTGAGTTCTCGAAGGCGTATTGCTTAAACCTGGTTTTCCTGAGGAAGATTTTCAATGCAGAGCTTGACTCTCCTGAGCTGCTGAGCAGAATCAACGAATCAACTTTCGCTGCTCCAGACCATCCCGATCCCAGGACCTATTTGAGAGGGGGCATCTTTCTACAGTGTATGCCTACAACAGCACACTACCAAGACAACATTGTTTGGGAAACAGTATTCCTCCAAATCTCGACTTTTTCTCCTCATGTTTAATAACTTCCAAGAAAGAGCTGCTTGATTGTTTTTCATAATTAATTGCATCCCTGGTGATAGAGTTATCCTATGGTCCAGTTTTTATTGCATTTCTTATTTGCTTTCATATTTATCAAAATGTTGTTGCATATTTAATCAGCTCCTGAGCTTATCTTGTTTTTTCAACTGATGAATTATTTGTTTGATTTCGGATTCTACTGTTGGGAATTAAAAAAATGCGTTATGGCTACCGGTAATGTTTTGTCTAAAAGCTATAGTGTTTGTGGCTCTACAATTATATATACAGGGTGTTTATTTAAAAACTTGCATATTTATTTATATAAAAACCGCAATGGATAGAAATATGCAGTTTTCGGGAATCATCTATTGATGTAGGGGGCCCCATTGTTTTGAATTCAACGTTACATTCACATTCCCCCCCTTTCCCCCCTGCCCCTAACTTAATTTTTTAAATAGCAAGGTACCCCTTGTGACATATCAAATGAAAGAGCATGAAAAAAGAAAATGTTTGGTGAAATTTATTTTTCATTTGATATATCACAAGGGCGGGTACCTTGCTATTAAAAAACAAGTTATGGGTAGGGGAAAATGGGGGGGGGGATTATCTCACAAATTCATAAGCCGATTTTAAATTTTTTTCACCAAAAATTTTCTTTTTTCATGGTCTTTCATTTGATATGTCACAAGGGATACCTTGCTTTAAAAAAAAATTAAGTTCCGGGGGGGGAGGGGGGAATATCTCACAAATTTATGAACCGATTTTCAATTTTTTTCATCAAACATTTTCTTTTTTCATGCTCTTTTATTTGATATGTCACAAGGGGTACCTTGCTATGTAAAAAGATTAAGTTGGCGGCAGGGGGGGAAAGGGGGGGGAATGTGAATGTAACGTTGAATTCAAAAAAATTGTGCCCCCTACGTCAATAGATGATTCCCGCCAACTGCATATTTCTATCTATTGCGGTTTTTACATAAATAAAGATGCAAGTTAAAAAAAAAAACACCCTGTATGTATATTTACAGAGTGATCAACTCAAGGAGGCCACCATTGGGATATCGGAAACGGTAAGAATTATAGAAAAGTTTAAAGAGGGACATTCCTTTATTTTTTGTTGCAGTTAAAAATATGATTTTAGTTTTTTTTTAATTCAGCCACCATTTTCCAAAATTAACTCTAAATTTCAAAAAACTAAATTCATATGGTGGCCAGCTAGCGTTGATTACCCTGTGTAGTGTTTTACATTTAGTATTCTTAAGTTGCATGATTACAGAATTTGACCCGCTTAAGAAAAAGCAGGAATTAAATAAATGTAAATGGAAAAGGAAAAATGCGTCACAGCTGTAGGCTGTAGCCACTGTCTTGTCATTGTCCCCATATGAGTCATTACTCAATACTCATTAGCCAATAGCCAATAATATTATCCATGATACATTGATATATTATGATATTATCAATTTATTATTGTTATTGTTGATGTTTTGTTAGAGTTTATCCATCCATCCTATTCCTATCCTATTCATAATCATCACATCATCACCACGACCACATCACATTATACTTCTCATTTTAAACTTAACCTAATCTAATTTCAAACGAACGTTTCTGATATATAGTGTATATTTAATTAATTAGTCTTCTTGTATGCAATCCAACATTGACGATGTACGAAACCGGGACCCTGTTTACCCTATTTTATATAATTTGCTCATATTGTTTCGTATTCAAAACAAATGAATTTCTTACTGCTGGATTGACTGTAGAAAGCCTATTCGGAAGGATCATAGGCAGTGAAACGGAAAATTTTGTTTTTTATCACATCAAACGATCAACATACACAATGTTCATTCACAGTTTTATTCCAATAGGTAAGCATTAATTATTAGAAAATTAGCGTAGCCCAGTTAAGAAACTGTACCCGAAAACTGGTCCAAATCATATGGTTTTTAAGACAAGAGGACAGTAGGCCTAGTTTACCCAGTTATTTTTCTGACTATGTTTTATTGGTCACCTAACTTACTGGTCCTAAAGCTAGTCTACTAACTTAGACCAGGTATGCAAGTACCTCTGCATACTAAGTTATACAAAGAGAAATAATGATTAAGCTGTTTTGTGTAGATTATAGACCTAGGCCTACCTTACCTTTGTCTTAGGCTGATAAGCCAGATTTTGCTGGTCTCTGGGAGACAGGTAGCTTTAACTTAAGGTAACTCTCTTATTGCTTCAGCGACCACTGGCTGCCCACATGACTTATACATAGGCCGAGACCAAACTGTAATCCACTGTTTCTTTTTATCACTCATAAGGCCAGTCTCAGGTGTATGAGATGAGTGGTCAGTGCCGGATTTACCACTAGCCCATGGCCTAGGGCTGCAAGCAAAAGGAGCCGCAAAGGCCTGACAATTTCTTTTTTCAGAGCAAAATTTTTTTTCTAAATATCAATGCTGAGATTGCGGGTGAAAATTATGATGTCCCCGTGATTGCGACCCATGGGAGATATTCACGATGTTGCCGGTGTTGCGGGTGTCGATGATAATGCCCCCGTGATTGCAAACAACGGGGGATGTTTAACATTTTGCCGTTGTCACATGTGTCAATGATGATATAGCCCTAATTGCGGCCCACAGGAGATATTCACGATTTTGCCACTGTGGCGGGTGACGCTGATGATATCGCCGTGATTTCGGCTCATGGGAGGTGTTCATGATTTTGCCGTGGTCGTGTGTGTCAATGATGATGTAGCCCTGATTGCGGCCTACGGGAGATATTAACGATTTTGTCACCGTGGGGGGAGACGGTGAGATCGCCGTGATTTTGGCTAATGGGAGATGTTCATGATTTTACCGTGGTGGTGGGTGTTGATGACGATGTCTCTGTGATTGCCCACAGGGGATGTTCACGATTTTTTCTGCAATCACCAGGAATTTCCCCCATTGGGATGGGGGCCTCTCGATTAATTTGGCTTAGGGCCGCAGGTAGCCTAAATCCAGCACTATGGGTGGTTGAGGTTTTTATTAAACCTCACCAAAACATCACCACTTATTTTTTATTTGTTTATCTCAGTAAGTTAAAAGCCGTGATCACATTAAAATCCAAATCTCCTGCGTAACTGTGGACATGATCATCGTGGAGTTTCCATGACCTCAGGAGTGCGTTCATGGAAACTCGTCATTGTTTCCGTTGCAACATCTTGTACATCATCCGCGGTCTTGAAAACATCATCATTGTCTCCTGTGGTCACAGAAACAACCTTTTTTCCACGATTGTACCAAAATGATGAATAAACTATCTTCTTCGGTCTTGAAATATCATCTTTGTCTCCCGCGGTCACGGAAACAATGTCACCTTTTTCGCGATCGAGTAGTGACAGCTTGACCTTCTGGACAGCAGCACCCCCCCCCCCCATGGTGGGTGTTATTTACGTCACTGCTCTTTCCATGTGGTATGACTATGTGAAGCGCAATATAGCCTACATGCAAGGTTAGAGGAACCTGTGACTGTACTTTCAGACTGTTTTAAAGCATGTTGCATACCACACAGTTCGTCACTCCCTGCTAATGGGGTAGTATTCCTCATGTATTTGTCTTTATGCAAACGGAGACCTGTGATTGAGTTTTAAAAAAATTTCGCTTTAGCCTATATCTTTTATTTTACATTAAACTTAATAGTTTTTATAGATCTCTTAACTTAGCCTAGTCCTTATTTTTCATGCTAATTGTGATAGTAAAATAAAAATAAAAAATAATTTAGTTAATGGTTTATTGGACAGAAAAAGCCGTGAATAAGTTTGACAATGAAAAAACTTTATTGATTTAGTGATTTTTACCATGCTTCCAACTTTAATTATTATTTAATTTTTCTATCCGATCTTTTAGCTTTTTAGCGACCTTGTTGCAGCTAATTTTTGTTGGGTAGCCAACACTCATCAGCTGTAGGTTGCAAATTTTATTACCAGGACTAAGGGGGGGATAGGTTTATTCGCTAATAGTCCAGAATTTTAAATTTACTTTTTGTTAAAAAAACTATTAAGTTAGGTACCTATATGTAACCTTTTATATCCTAAGGCAAAGGCCCTAGCCCAAAACCGTTGTACTTCAGGCTGGGCCTAGAAGCTTGTGGTGTATTATAATTTATGATAAAATCTTATGGTGGTTGGTGGGATTTGAACCGGGGACTACGTGGACTGTAGTTCTGTCCTCTACCAAAAGACCAGCTTACTCCCCATGGTACATGTTATTACATTTACAGAAAGTTCGGAAAGTAATTACTGTACTTCTAATACACTTGCAACATATCTGTGCTATACTAACTTACTGACAAAATAGTGATCGATTTTGAATAGAAGAATAACATTGGGCAGGTTATGTAGCTTATGTAGGCTAGCTCTAATGATGGTATCGAAAAATTGTATTAATTTCATAGGGTTAATTTAGGACTGCCAAATGAATATTAATTGTGCATTTAAAAATAAATTATTGTTTACATTTAAGACACATTTGTTTACATTGTACATGTTTTAAGTGTTAAAAGACGTTTCTTTTATTTACTTTCCGTAAATTTAATAACACGTACAATGCTGATCAAGAAGTTATTTACATTTAAGAGGCTAAATACTTATCTAGATGCCAATTTTCATTTGATCTTTCAGTTTTGAAATATATAATTGAATTAAAACAAATTAGTTCTTTTCTGTAGGTTACAATATTGGTATGTTTTGGATTGCATACTATCCCTTGATACAGAAAGGTTTATGCCTGATGAACATTATCGGAACGATTGGCCTAATTCTTCCGATAACAACAGGAGTCATTGTGTACAGGTGGAGGAAAAACAACTGGGAAGAACATCCAATATCAAAAAGGCTTGCTTTATTCAGTGGAAATGCTGGTCAAATGAATTGGCGAACTTTGGCATCTGATATCAATGTTGAGTTCCGAAGGTGAGTAAAACTTAAGAAGGCCTATTATCACCAGTAGTAGTAAATGAGTTTGCTAAGATATTGGTGTACCTTTTCACACTGGTTGGTTATGTTAGACTTCATGATTTAAAACTCTAACATTATAATTAGGTATACATAAAAACATAAACCTAAAACATAAAAACTTTAAAATGGACTTAATGTTCTAAATCATTGCCAGTCATCGAAACTAGGATCATCTGTTGGTACCGTAGGTAATTACCGGTAAGATAATAAGATAATTACCTTAATAAGATAATTACCTTAATAAGATAATTACCGGTAACTATTGTTTGGTTTAAATGATACAGTGGCTGGACATTACATTTAATTTAGCTAAAATAATTAGGCCTAGTAGTAGTAATTAGTTTGTAAAATTAATTTTAAAACTAGAGGCCTATGATTAAATTGATTTAAAAAAAAATTTTAAAAATAAATCTTTATAAGTATATTTTTTTCTTTATTGGGTTAGGATTGCTTTGTTTGCAATATAAAAAAAAAAGAAAGTATTCTCCCCCGTTGGTTGTGATTGTTGGCAAATTTTTTTCCAAAGTAGTGTAAAAAAAACATCAAATATAGCTCCAAAGTGTGGAGACAGGTAAATAGACAAAATATGATAGCTCTGTGTATTTAACTGCCGGTTTAGAAGTAAGGCATAGTGACAGTAAAATTACAGAGAAATACATGTACTGAATTTTCACTCAAAAGTTTTAACTCTACTTTCTTTTACAACATGCTTCGTGGTTAATAGATTTTAATGTGAAATTGCATGGAAGATTGAGTTATCCATTAATAGTGGTGTTAACACAAAATAGCTATAACTGCAACAGAGAGCCGTAGGCCTAAAAAGTGTCGTGAGAATTGTGGTTGCACTCACAAAAATGGTAATTTTTTGATTGATTTAGGTATAGTTTTATTTTATTCATCTTTGCATCTTGAATTGATTTGTGATAATATAAATAGATTTACATACCTTACGTCATCAATCTTTATTTAGTCTTTGGCGACTAGTTTTTAAACAACAGTTTCATTTTTAAGCCTCTTACTTCATAAAATCATTGGAAGACATTTTCGTCGTCAATAGACAAAAATATAACATGTTCGTGTGTGTTGAATGTTGTATTGATGGCGACAATATGTTCCAATGATTTTATAAAGCAAGATGATTGAAAACGAAACTGTTGTTTCGAAACTAGTCCCCCAGGACAAATTTGGATTTATGATGTAAGGTATGTAAACCTATTTATATTGTATAGTTGTTAGCCCACAGATGATAGATTTTAATTGCAGTTAAAGTTCCTTTTCTCAATTATATTCAAAACTAACAGTAAATCCCCTTTCCAGGGTGAATAAAATTATCATTAAGTGTGGTACACTGGTGGATGTGGTAGTGACGGAAAACTGGATTATCAAGGTGACTCCTTACAACATGTACTTTGCCCATCAGAGCAACACTACACTCTCACTGGACACAGCTGATACTCACGCACTAGCAGTGAACGGCTCAGGGTCTGCGCAGTTCCTTAACATCAAGGTATCCTTCACTCAGAGAGGTTCCCATCATTTCTACATCAGGTAATCTTAATATCACGTTTGTTTATTGATTGAATTGGTTTTGAGTAGGCCTAGCTACTTAGATTTTTTGTAGTCTTAAATCACTAAATATACAAATAGAAGGTTATTTTACCTTGAATTTGTCAAGTGCTTCATTCTTTGACCTCATCTAAGGGTGGGTGATAATGTCGCCTACTTCAGGTATGTACTGCAACAAAGGCCGCTACATGGATACTGCAGAGGAATACAAAATTAATGAGGACTCTAAGGAAAATCCTGGAGAAATTCTTAACAATTAAATGAGTTTTAAATTCAATGAATTAATTCAACTTAAACTACAACAGTGGTAATAAAAGTAAAAAGGTCATCGCCCTACCAACAAAACTGCAGTCTGCACATATCAACTGAGCCTAGTGTTTACTGTTGGCCTCAGCAGTTGTCAAATACCGTATTTAATTTTTATGTATGGTCTCTTGGCAAGAACCGTATCAAGGTAAAATAGTCACCATCCATCCTTAGAAGAGGGTTGGGAATCACTAGACAAATTAAAGGTTAGATAACCTCTTATTTACAAGATATTTAGGATTGTTTTCAGTGCCAAATTTAAGTTACTTGCGGCCCTAGGTTAAAATAACCCGAGCAGCTCCTGCCTCCCAGGTGAAATTGTGAACATCTCTTGTGATCTCGGGGACGCCATTATCATCACCAGTGATCATGGCAAAGTTGTGAACATCTCCCACTATGTGATAGAGGCAATTAATTAATATTACACAATGAAAATTCAATTTTGTTTAATAAAAGTTGTTTTAGTACAAAACGATGCGGCCCCCTTTTGCTTGTGGCACTAAGCTGCAACATAGTCGTTGATCACTCTAATGGCATAGCCAGAGCCATTTCACTCACTTATATTCCAGCTGTCGAGGGTAAGACGTACACTTTGGTCTTGTTATTATCAGTCACTCTTACTGTCTTAGTCACCATCCTGGTTTGAACTGTACAACATCGAGGTTATGCTGTATGTGTGTATTTATATTTCAAAAACTACAACTCAGTGATAGCAAAGCTAACCACATTTCTACTGCAGATTTTTCTAATATAAAAATATTTTCCCCAAGTGGAATAGTATATTTCATTACTAGAACCGAAAGTGGTATTTTCCGACACTCTCACAAGTCTCATGAACATCAGACAGGAAACCCAAATCTCACATGCAAGGCAAAGCCGAGCAGGTGAGAGTCATTTTCACGTACGAGGCAAAGCCGAGGATGGGAATAATGGAGCAAGTATCGGATAATAGCTTTCGGTTCGAGCTATGAACGATACTTTTCATCACGACGCAAAAATACACACATACTGAACAACATATCTCAGTAGAAGTTTTAGACCACTCTTTATCATTGAAAATACACTTCACAACGTACATAAGTGTAGATTTTTTAGATAAATACAGAGTGGCTGAAAAGTAACTTAAACCCCCCCTCCTTAACTTTTCAACCATTTGAGATATTTGAAATCTGTTTGTGGCAACCTTCTTAGCTATGAGAGGCTACAATAATTATGGTCAATTTTGAAAATTTTGCCCTTAAGAGTAGCGGGCACCATCAATAACAAAATGGCAGTTAAAAATCACTTTCAACAACCATTGTCTTCATCATTTTTAGCTGCCATTTTGTTAAAAGGTCCAATTTATATTTTTTTTATGTTAATTATTATGTTTCGTCAAGACCTGTAAAATGATACCAAACTCGACTATACTTGCTATTTGAAAATTTTTAGCTACCCCTAAGGGCAAAATTTTCAAAACTTACCATAATTATTGTAGTCCTTCATATCCAAACAGGTTGCCGCAAACCGATTTCAAATATCTTAAATAGTTAAAAAGTTAAAGGGGGTGCAAGTTAATTTTCAGCCACCCTCATGTTATTTGGATTTGAAATGTTTTAGGGCACCATTTTGTTATCAGTGGGCCGATTTTGGTTTCTTTTATGTCAACTGTTATGTTTTGTCAAGACCTGTAAAATGATACCAAACTCGACTATACTTGTCATTTGAAAAATTTGGGCTACCCCCTACCCCCGCTGCCCCTAAGGGCAAAATTTTGCTATTGGCTAAGAAGATTGCCACAAACAGATTTCAAATATCTCAAATGGTTGAAAAGTTAAGGGGGGTGTAAGTTACTTTTCAGCCACCCTGTATATTAATAGATATTTTGTCACTTACCGTACTTTAATTGACTTCACATTTTGTTATTTGTACCAGTTTCTAAGCTTTCTGTATTCCCCTTCTTATTCCCGTGGTTTATCTGGTGGAAGGTGAGTTACCTCTGAAACTATTTTCATCAAATCATCAGTAATGTTAGACAAACATTGAGCAATTTCAAACACGCACTATGCTAAAAGCCAACAAAACAAACTAACGCCAGTTTCTGTATAGATTTAGATTGTGCAACAATAAAAACAGCTGATTTCAATCATTAAAACAAACCTAACAAAACACTAGCACATATAAATGGAGAACTAATCGAGAGCGAGGGAAAATCAGCTGATCGTTTTTCCCTAGCTCTAAATTAGAGCTTGGGAAACAACTACTTTCTTTCATATCAACTGTTATCGAAAATAGTTACTTTCAGTAAGGAGATATGAAAACATATTTAGGCTATATAAATATTTACATTAATATTGTCCAGTGTTCTCAGCAGTTCTATGCTGTCAGTTTTTCTCAGTTTTGATAGTGCTACAATTTTTGCAACTTTTGCAACCCACAATGGTTTTATGTTCACTTTGCGCAGAATAAAAAACGCCCACAAAAAGCTGATCACGTTGTAATCACTTACTTGTAGTTGTTTAGATACACTCACTCAGCATAAACTATATGTTCTCAATGTTGTCTATATGTTGAATGGTGAGAATGAACGGGTATATGGGGTGCATGAGATTTGGAACATTCGTTCACCTTGGATGACTCGCTTGAATCAAATCTTGACCGAAAGACTTACCTCTACTGCAATTAACTTGAGGCTGCCTCTGGAAAACTATACCCCGGTCCCTCATGACGTAGAAACCGGTTTGGGAGGTAATATACCGGCAACCTGCCATGTTAGTGTACAAGTAATGATTATCCTTCTCTAAAAAATTATGTGTTCAATATTATTTTTTTCAGATTAAATGCTCTAGACTATAAAGATCTGAAAGACAAAGTTCTACGACCTATCCAAGTTGCCCAAGATATTGTATTCCACCAAACGAAAGCTGAGCAGTTTGTGGAAGTATTCAAAGAGCAAGTTTACCTAAACCCTCGACATCACCCTACTGAGGTAACATAAAAACTATGATAATAAATGCTCAATGCTCCTGTTTTTTATGTTAAAATATAATAAATTTAATTAGTAAGCCATGCCATCCCTAAGTTTTTTATATTCAGTTTTAATTAGGAATACTCTTTTACACCGTTGTAAGCTACATGGGAAGCAACTTTAAAACTGTAAAAAATATTGGGGAGGGGCTCAGTTACATTGTTTGTATAGAGTAGGGTCACGTGCTGAAAACATTGCCTAAATTGATTTTTGAGGGATAATGAAGCAAATAAAAAGATGCATTATAGGGTCAAGTTCTCTGTTTAGTGCTCCTATGCAAATAATATTAAGGTGAGTCGGTGGTTCAGTTAGTAGCGTCACGGACATCGGGCCAAAGGCAGTTTTCGGATCCTGGTCACTGCCACTACTTTTTATCAGTACAGTTCACCCTTGTATTGTATTGGCTCACCCCATGCTTTGCTATATACATTCCACACACAGGTTCCTAGCTTATGTGGACGGGAAAATGCAAAGTTAAAAGAGACCGCCAACCTTATAAAAAAATTTAAAAACAAGAAATACCAAAGTACACATTTTGACAACAGCGACACCTATTTTAAATGTAGGTTATGATCACTGTATCTAATGTATATAAACTTACAACACTTAAATAAGAATAACGATAAAAGTTACCGAAATAATGAATGGTTCAATTTATATGTGGTTTCTTACTTTATTGTTTTTGTTTATAATATGAGCTCAGTAGAATTCCAACTATTCAAACTCCAACCCATCCAAATTGCCAATTATCTGAATTGCTTTCAGGAAGAGTTGAAACAAACCTTAAAAACCACAGTACAGTAATAAGAATTCTTACAGAAAGAAGAAGACGTGATCGCGACTAAATCCAAAATTTCTCTCGGTCGTGTGGACACCATCATTGTCACCAGTGGTCATGGAAACATTGTCATCCTCTCCTGCGGTCTTGTAGACATGATCTTTGTCTCCAGTGGTCCCGGAAACATCCCCATCATCTTCTGTGATCACAGCAAAATGTTAAATATACCCCATGGTCGTGTTGACATCTTCGTCTCCCGTGGTCACGGAAAATCTAACCGTCCACCGTAATCGCGGCGAAAGCGTGAATTTTGGGATTGCAAAATCGGTAGATGCATTCTGCCATCACAATGGTAAAAGATCGACTCTACTCGGCCTATTTTCTGTAAAATACCCCCAAATTCTGTAAAAATCCAATTTTCCAAATGTTTGACTATCCGAATGTGTTATGGCCACAATGATTCGGATAATTGGAGTTCTACTTTAGGTTACTTCAAAATCTTGTTTTTTACCTAGTCTTTCATCACGTGCCTGCCATTAGCAGATTTTAAACTAGGGCAGCTTGTTTTAACTTAATCAATTAAATTATCTTTGTTATTCTTTTCTGTAATATATTTAATTACCGGTACACTGTAATATTATTATGCAGAAAAATGAGAAACCCTATTGCAATGTAAAATTCTTAAAGGGTAATCGAGATTCTTATTCTTCTTATAGAGGGGGAGGCTGAAGCCCCTTAGATATCATGCAGGCAACACCCTTGATATCTAATGGGCAAAGTGGTAACTGCATCAGAAATTGCCTCAACCTGTAAACCATTGTGTATTCGGAAAATAATTTCTCAATTGACTACTAGTTTTTGTCTTCTTGTATAATGCATCATTCACTGGCTACTTTAAAGTTTTAAACTATATTAGTTCATCGATCCTTTAATTATTTATTTATAATAATTTTACACTGCATATTAACAATTTTTTAATAGTAACAATGATTGTATTGTTGAAATGGATGGAGTTACCAGTTATCTTATTATCTGTAAATAAATTTGTTGGCTTTAAAATATTTTTCACATCTCTAAAATCGTTAAAACTCATTCCCTCAAAACTTTTATCGTTAAAAAATTAATATAATTAAATTTTTCTTCCCATATTACTATACAATTTTACTTAATCTGTTCTGTTTTAGGAATTAGAAATGTGCATTGGATGTATGGTGAATTTATCCAACATCAAATTAGTGAAACACTGTATAGATGAAGGAATTGACCCATGCGGTAACTGTTACTGCCGGCCCATGTGGTGCATTTCCTGCATGGGACGATGGTGAGTTTCTACATTCCTTGTTGGTAGAAGTTACTAATATTTAGCTCTGTTGACACTCTAGAGGGATATTCAATCATTGAATGTTAGCTAAACTATTGTTTTATGCCAGTTGGCCTATAGATACAAGCTAAATCACATGTGAAATTTATTTGTATGATCATGACATCTTATTGGGTAACCTTCATCCAATATTATTGGATGAAGGTTACCCACTCAATCATGAAAACCGTAAAATCGGTTTGAATTAAGTCAACTGGAAATAAACCAGGGTTGAGCCATGCAGTTAAAACTCAAAAATATGGGTGGGCCAATTCTGATTCTTCAAAAAGGTTCCCAATACTTTATGACTTTAGATTCTAGAATCTCCCGTGATCGCAGCAAACTCATGATCTGCTGCATTTGTTGTATCATCATGTTGGTGGTGGCTTTTATGATTTTCGTTTGATCACGGTGTAAGGTACCAAATTTCAACGGGGGTTGCGTAAACAAACACTAGAACTTGCCAATTTACATCCACTACAGCCTACGCTTAGGTCTATGTGTTTGCCATCGTTTGGCTATGTGCAAGGTATCAAAGGCTAAGGCTTAGAAACCAAAACGTATAAACACACATTCACACTAAATATTTATTTGCAATCACATTCCAAACCAACCGTATTCCATTTTACTTTGATAAAGTATCCAACATGATTAATGTTCTACACCACCATTGTATTAAATTTAATTCATACGTTCTAAATTTTAAGTGCTATTATTTGGCTAGCAGTAACCATAGCAAAGACGTACGCCCAACCATTCACATTAACAGTAATGATTGTGTGCTATTGAACAACAATGACAAAAATTGTAGTTTACAGTGGCAAATTCTTGACTTTGCGGGAAAAAATGTTTATAAACTGCTGTTCGAATGGGGTGAAGTCAGATTAATAAGGGTTTGTTGTATCATGTTTCAGGTTCGCTTCTCGTCAGGATCAAGATCATCCTGAAGTATGGTTGTCCTCAAAGTGTACTTGTCCTATGTGCCGCAGTGTATTCTGCATCTTAGACGTCAGTTTGATACAAGAAACACAAGCGGATGAACTGAACTGAGTTAATAAACATGACAGTTACCAAGGAAAATGTATATTTTGGAAATAAGTGCTTAACTTTGTACCGCTCAGTTTCAGCTGTGATTTTATAAGATTTTATATTTAAAGAGAAGAAAGAAGTTTAAGTGTTTGTTTATAGGTTTTGAGAAAAGATAGAAGTTTTCATTTATTTTTGTTCTGAGAGAGCAGGAAGTCTCTGTTTTTAGAGAATTTCCCTATAGGGAAGTAGCTATTACCGTAGGTCTCATGGTAAGACTTAGGCCCGGGACCGATTTACTTTTTCATTTTAATGTCCCCAGAGGCCAAAAACACCATTCGTTCAAATTTTTATATATGTATATATATATATATATATATATATATATATATATAGGTATATATATATATATAGATTTATATATATATATATGTGTCCGTGAACACGATAACTTGAGTAATTTTTATCCGATTTTGATGAAATTTGGTTTGAAGGTGTAAGGCGGGATAAACTTGAATGAGTTCGCGATCCAGCATGATCGGACCATGGGAACAGGGTTTAATGGGGGGTTTTATGGGGTAAAAATTGGTTTTTCTCACTTTTTACCCTCAAAACACAAAATTTCCCAATTTTTCTCTAAACCTTCTTAAAGAGCTTAAAAAAACAAACAATTCAGTATATCAAAGTGTTTTTGTACGGTTATTGGTTACGGAGAAAACTAAAAAAATGATAAATTTAAAATTCCCATGTTATTCTTATGGAGAATATTGTAAAATGTTGTAGTTTGCTTGTTTATGGATATATTTTGATCAAACTTGGCAAATTTATTTATTTTATAGTAAGCTATCAATATTTTACTAAAAACACACTACTTTATTAGTTTCCTTGTAGCAGCAAACCTAGGTACTCGTTAAACCTAATGTTATTTAAATAGATCAATTGAAAATCAATTCGGCCAAATGGAAATTCGCTTAGACGGCAGGTTTGCTGCGGCGGGGGTATTTTCTACTCCGAGAGAAAGTGAAAGTTTTAGTTTTTTTTAGAGAAGAAAGAAGTTTAATTTTGTTATTTTGCTCTTATAAATTAAGTACTGTTATAAAAGGGGTAGACCATAATCCTCTTTTCCCTGAGGATCGTCCTTACTTATTTGTGGTTTTACGTGAAAGAAGAACTGCCCATCTGCCTTATCGACAGTTTAATATTTCGCAATAAATAGTTTAATTTGTATTTGTGTTTAAGTAAACCATTAGTAGTCCATAAATAAAAATGTTTCTCAGGTGGATCAGTAGGTAAGATGTGTTTTTGAATGAAACCTCATGATTAAAAATATTGTAACATGTTGACTTCTGGTTTACAAAGAAGTGGACAATAGTGTAATACCCAAACCCCAACTAAGAAAACAAAATGTAAATAAATTGTCGCTCAATGCATTATTTCCTAAATTTTTTCCAAACAGTTGTGTAATATTAATACTTTTGCATAATGATGATTTCCCTTAAGTTATCAAAATTTAATTTTTGTTATTTAAATGTGCATATTTTGTATGGAGTTTTATGCTTTCAATCATTTTTGTTATTTTAATGAATTGTAGAAATTGGGTTTATAATCCAAGTAATTTTTTAAAGATAAGTAATTGTTGTTTTGTTCCATAATCTTAGTTGTGTCTCAACATAATTGCTATTTTCACACATTACCAAAGTCTTGCACAAGTCTGTATGTGTTTGTCCCACTGTATTATGTTAATGTCCTAATAATATTGAAAAGTTTGAAACAGGTAATAAGGAAGAGTATTTAGTACATATTTATAATCTTGCAAACTAAGTTATAGAAAATTTAACTTATAGCTTTTTTGTAAACTAAATACTTGAAATACTGTTTCAAGTGACGTTATTGTGCATGGTGTCTACTCTCCGGGAAATTCGGGAAAACCGGGAAAACTCCGGGAATTGTATCTTACCTTGAAATGTCCTGGAAAACTCCAGGAATCCACCCAAACCTCCGGGAATCCACAGCCGGTCATCGGAATCGTCGGCTAACCAAACACTGCCGCTTTTGTTGCCGAAATCGCGGGAGACAATTATCGGTGTCGCCGAAACGGCAAGATATCCTCACGGGTATTGGCACGATCGCGGGAGACGATTATCGGTGTCGCCGAAACCGCAGGATATGCTCACGGGTATTGCCGCGATCGTGGGAGACGATTATCGGTGTTGCCGAAACCGCGAGATATGGTCACGGGTATTGGCATGATCGCGGGAGACGATTATCGGTGTCGCCGACACCGCAAGATATTCTCACGGGTATTGCCGCGATCGTGGGAGACGATTTTCGGTGTTGCCGAAACCGCGAGATATGGTCACGGGTATTGGCACGATCGCGGGAGACGATAATCGGTGTCGCCGAAACCGCAAGATATTCTCACGGGTATTGCCGCGATCGTGGGAGACGATTATCGGTGTCGCCGAAACCGCGAGATATGGTCACGGGTATTGGCACGATCGTGGGAGACGATTATAGGTGTTGCCGAAACCGCGAGATATGGTCACGGGTATTGGCACGATCGCGGGAGACGATTATCGGTGTCGCCGAAACCGCAGGATATGCTCACGGGTATTGCCGCGATCGCGGGAGACGATTATCGGTGTTGCCGAAACCGCAGGATATGCTCACGGGTATTGCCGCGATCGCGGGAGACGATTATCGGTGTCGCCGAAACCGCAGGATATGCTCACGGGTATTGCCGCGATCGTGGGAGACGATTATCGGTGTTGCCGAAACCGCAGGATATGCTCACGGGTATTGCCGCGATCGTGGGAGACGATTGTCGGTGTCGCCGAAACCGCAGGATATGCTCACGGGTATTGCCGCGATCGTGGGAGACGATTATCGGTGTTGCCGAAACCGCAGGATATGCTCACGGGTATTGCCGCGATCGTGGGAGACGATTATCGGTGTTGCCGAAACCGCAGGATATGCTCACGGGTATTGCCGCGATCGCGGGAGACGATTATCGGCGTTGCCGAAACCGCAGGATATGCTCACGGGTATTGCCGCGATCGTGGGAGACGATTATCGGTGTCGCCGAAACCGCAGGATATGCTCACGGGTATTGCCGCGATCGTGGGAGACGATTATCGGTGTTGCCGAAACCGCAGGATATGCTCACGGGTATTGCCGCGATCGCGGGAGACGATTATCGGTGTCGCTGAAATCATAAAATATGCAAACCTATTTTGCCGCGATCGATTGCCTGTGTTGACGAGACTGCAAGATATGCTCACCGGTATTCCCACGATCGCAGGAGATGATAGCTGGTGTCGCCTTACCTACTAGTTATACTGTTTTATTATGTTGTATAAAATATTTTCTTTGGAAAAGTTTTGTTTTAAATTAAAATAATCATAATAGTAATAATAAATTATTATTAGCGGGTTGCGATTAGTTGAACGGGTTCCGATAGTAGCTCTTAAAATTCAGGAATTTGTCTTGAATTCTCCTGGAAAACTCCTTGAATTTTTCAAACCAGGTTTAGTAGACACCATGTTGTGATAAAACTAATAAATTATTTCTTAAAATTATGTGTGTTTTTATTAAATTTCCATTTTCCCAGTTATAAAATCAATGTAGCCTTCGCTATTGAAAACTAGATTTTTGCGGAAAGAAATTTATTAAATTAAATGCAAAAATACACAATTATGGTAAATAGAAGAAGTCTGCAATTATAAAATCATTGTTGGTTGAACTAAAATCATTTTTTAGTTCTAATATAGTTAGGGAATAATAAATTAATCTTAATCTAAAGTGGACATGGACTAGATACTATGGACTTTATGGGGATACATGAAATTCCATGTAATACCACTTTCGTGAGAAGAACCATAGATGTAATACACTTCCAAGTTTGGAACATTAATTCAAAGTAGATACAACTACAAAAAATTGCCACACTAACTTGTATTAAATGTTCACTGTTCATTCTAAATATTACAGGAATTGAAAAGGTTGAAGAATTGTTTAGTGAAAAATAAGTTACAACTTTGGTAGGTAATCTATTTGACGTTTGGAAATTTGTTTGCTGGTTATTTTCTGAGTCAAAATTTAGTTTCTTCACAACATTTTTCCATGATACCATTGGCTCAAGTAGACAGTTTATGTAATAATAATGTATTACTGTATATTTAATAGAGACTACAGTGCTTGTATGATTCAGAGGGACTCACTGTGGCCATGGTACAATGGTATGTGTAACTTCTTGATCAGAATTGTACATGTTATTAAATTTACGGAAAGTAAACAAAAGAAACGTCTCAAAACACTTAAAAAATATATATTTACTCTGACTTACCATCTGGCATGATGGTTACCACTTACCATCTTTTTTCTATATCTCTTCTTCTTTATATATTCGTCTTGTGAATAACAGTATAAGAGTAAATATATGTTTTAAGTGTTATAAGACGTTTCTTTTATTTACTGTCCATAAATTTAATTTATAATCTAATTTACAATCACAGTAAATATACAAAAAAGATTGTAACTTACGAGTAACAATATAAGAGTAAATATATGTTTTAGTGTTATAAGATGGTTCTTTTATTTACTTTCCGTAAATTTAATTTACAATTAAGGTAAATATACAAAATAATGGTAAGTGGTTACCACCATCTTTTTTGTGCATTTACTGTCTTTTGAGTAACAGTATAATAGTAAATATATGTTTTTAAGTGTTGTAAAACGCTTCTTTTATTTACTTTCCGCATGGTTGTGTGTCTGTGTCAAGATGGACTGGTAATTTAATGGGGTACCGGATTTCTACCCCCGGATATTTACCCCCATGAAAAAACGCCTATGCTACACAAAATATATAATAGAATAATCAACATGTAATTGTTTGCTTGTACTGTAAGTGATTTGCCATACCACTGAATTTTACCCCCGGAAATAATTGACCCTCAGAAATCTATCCCCATTGGTCAAATCAGAAATGTACGACCCCGGAATTCTACACCTGGAAATCTACCCCCCCCCCCTGGTCGACTACACCACGTGTCGGCCAGGATTCATTGTTTTAATTGATTTTATTCATTGGTTTATGTAAATCAACGGCTCTTCGATTATAATAATTACCTTCTAATATCCAGTATTAAGCATGTGATGTTTCGTTGTCTTGTTTAACATTATCTGTTATCCTAATTGAATAAGTTGTAACAGTCCTTTTTCACCCGACCTACTTCGCCGATTTTTACGATTGAGTTGTCATTTTAAAGCTTAAGATCTAGCGCAACAAAATGGTAATTAAAAAGGATATTTCGATTAGGGCCTCAAAGGTTGGCCCCTAAGCCTTTGATTTATTCCTAGAAGGTGCTTTCAATGGTTGACCAACTTTCACACTATTCAGTAACAGTTTTAAAGGTGAAATGTGAGCTGATTACCATCAGATGATTTTTGAAGTGAGGTTGAAAACATAAATAGATCGTCTGCAACTGTAAACAAGAGATAAAAAAAGTTATTAATATAATAAAAACTGCACACCTTGCGCATGGTACCCCTGTAAGTGTTACATCGTACTGAATCATTGTTTTTACACACATTCTCTAAGGGATAAAGATAATAAACTGTGGTGGACTTCCGATTTATTCAATATACAGATGATTAGTATTACAGTATACTAATATTATAAATGTGAAAGTATATGTGTTTGTTTGTTTGAAGTTACAATCACACGAAACTATTGGTAGGATTGGGCTGAAAATTGGTATGGTGATAGCTCACATTCACTAACATATATTCTTATCTCAAAAATCCTTTCAGGCTCCACCCCATTTGCTCTGGATTTTCCCATGTTAACCTTGTGAGTATTCACATTTAAAAGGAATTAAAGAATTTTGTTAGCTTTTTCAACTACAGAAATTGAATCTATCATATTATATAAATAGCATTAAAAAGTTATAAGGTTTACCAACAGGGTGCAGCAATATTATTTTTTTCATTTATGACAACAGCTAATTTGAACCAACCAAAGCAACAAAAAGCTGTGATCTAGGCTACAATGAGACATTTACTTTTTTTATTGTTTACTTGCAGTGGTAGAACAAAATGCTTATGGTATATGTGCTATAATTATGGCATAGGTAGATTAAATTAAAAGAACCAAATTTGTGTCCTCTCCCATTGCAAACGCAAAGCCAAGTATAACTGCAATACGCATTTTATACTTATACGCCAACTCATCTGTACGAAGGACGGGTACTCTGACAGTATTTCATAAATGACGTATGTGGTAAACATTAATATAAAACTTGAAATCGCACTAAATTGGGTTTTTGAACGTCCATTATTTTATTTCAAGAGTAAGTGATGCCATATATTTTAATGGCTAAATCCACTCTCGCCAATCCAGTGAATACAAAAAGACTATTTGAATCCCGATCGATGCTTTTGTTTTTCAGGAGAAGGCCGCGTAAAATGCCTGCTGGGCCGTTACAGACAGACAGAAATTGAGATAAGACTTGTTTCGGCTTCTTTGACGTATAAAACATAAAACTAACTATAAACTTATAAAACATAAACCAATTAATAAAATCAACTACTGTACAACAATGAATCTTGGCGATACGTAGCACGTAGCGTAGCCAATGAGGGGGGGGGGGGGTAGATTCCCGAGGGTAGATTTACGGGGCTAGATTTCTGGGGGTAGATTTTCGGGGGTTAAATTCCGGTGTTAGGTTTATTGTTATTTTGATTAATCACAACTGTTAAGTAAACCGTGAAATGTGAGTTGATTGAAATAAATAATCATTTAATAAATTTATCCGTCCTAAAAGTTCGTGGCCGGAAATCTACCCCCAGACATGTGACGTCAAAATGAAGTAGGTGTTTTTTCATGGGGGTAAATATCCGGGGTTAGAATTCCGGCGACCCCAATTAATACCGGTAATTGATTTGATGAATTTAATGTGACAGCCTATTTTTTGGCTCCTTTGTCTATGCTAAATGGCCAAATAAATAATTGAATCAAATAGTGTCAAAAGAGTAAAGAAATGAGGTCTTCAGTGGTAGTTTACTGGTTTTAAGCCCTTACTACAATTAAGTAAACTTAATCAATGCTTAAACTGAACCCATCATACACTATACAAACTGTGTATGCTAACGCATTTTCCCGCCATTTTCTATAAAACAAAAACATTCATTTCTTGTAATAAAACTAAGAAGAGGTTAACTGTAAGAAAGGCTATGAGGTTTTCAGTTTTCCGTTATAAATAATAATTGTCATTTTAAGCTTGTGTATACTAAAGTTTTAGAGTTTGGAGTGGTTGATAGTAGACGTGTTGTATTAACTTTGATTTAGTATCATAGTAATAATCTCTAACAGTAGCTCATGTGGTGGCTAACCTGCAATATCGAAGCCAAGACAAGGCAGAAAAAAATCCTCAACTCCCACTCCTACTCTCCTCAAAATTTCTAGCAGCATTTGGTTTGGCCTGTCTGATTGAATGTGAGATTTTAAATTGAGGATTAAAAGTGCAGTTAAATCGAATTAATAAACTTAGTTTTGTATTTGGTGTTGGTGTAACGAATTACGAACTGTCTCTGAACTCTAGTTCTAACCAAGCCTTCATTACACCGAGTGTAAGTTTTACAAAACATATTCGTATATTACCCGCAATCAACCCCTATTGAAATATATATATGAGTTGCTGTAGTGTAGAATACAAGAGCAAAGTCTCCTACAGTCGATTCAATTTTTTAATTTGTCTGTTCTGAAGCTATAATAATTCATTTTGAAGTTTAGTGCTCTAACTCCTTGTATGCATAATACCAGTAGGATCAATACACTGCAGGTATCTGCTTGCACTTCAAAGGTTGGCTAGAGGAGTCAAACCTGTAGGTTAAAACTACTGAGCTATAATCATTCGCATGCTAGTGCTTGCATTCATTCACTAATTAATTTGAAATTAACTTAAACCATCATTAAACTTAGGGCTTTGTTGCCATAAAGCCAAGCAGCATCAAAGTGGCCTAGGCTTATGTTAGGCCTAATTTATTGTGATGTGAGCAGAGAAACCTATCATCAGTTAAACCTAATTGATCAGTAAAAGAGTTTCCATAGGACTAAGACAGGATTGAGAAAGGCAGAGGATAAGCGTCCGGTAACTGGACATGGATTAGGCGTCCGACAGTTACTGTCATAACCTAACCTAACTAACCAAACTTGCTGATAATGAAAAAATCGAATGAAGGTTAAATTCTGTTCATAAAATAAAATTACAAATGCCTCAAATTCTAACAAAAGATGTAAGTTACAGTTAAGAAGAAATGGCATTAGGCTATAAGCAAAATCTTTGACAAAAAGTTAGTGTCTCCGATGGGATTCGATCTAGGCTAGATACCTCTTGTATATTAGCCGAGTACTCTATCCACTACAACTTGAGCACCGATGGCTGTTCATCGTATCGTTGTGGTAATGGTGTTACGGGCCTCCACGACCTGGTGATGTCACCGCCGGTCGCCTAATCCACGTTCGGTTACCAGACACTTATCCTCTGCGACTGAGAAAACCCTGTTAGGCTAGGCCTAATTGATGTTTTTTAAAATGTAGGTTAGGCCTATGATTTTGTAAATAGAGCCCTTTAAACCAGGCTATAAGTTAATGTTGTGCTAGAATAATTTAAATCCATTGGAACAGTTTTTATCTGGAAAGCATTAACCTATTCAAAAGAAAATCAGGCGTCAAAGCTTAAATATCTGTTTTATCCTGTGTATCTGTTCAACCACCACACATGTTTTGAAATTCCCATTTTAGGGTTAAAATGTGGTGCATGGAACCATTGCTAGCCAGCCTAGCAGCACTGCTGCTCTGTCAGTTCAGGCTGCAACATGTCCTGCCAAGAACTGTACAAAGTGCTCATAAGTTAGAGTACCAAAGTTATTGCCTATGATAATATAGCTTATATCTGGATTTTTTTGGTGATCTAACCGTAACTTAAACTTAATAAGGTATTTTTAAAGTCTTTCATATGTTACCACCTAGGATAGGTAAACTTACAATCTATAACTAAGATAACGGTAGGCCTTGGAGGTTGGAGGGTGTACAATTCACAAGTTTTGTTAAGTTAGTTGTTCTTAATTCTTTTAACTTATAATTCAGATTTCACTATCATTCAGCCTCCTACGATTTGGATTTTGTAGGACATGCCCTACAAAATTTAATAATTAATAATCCTACCTACATAATGAATCAGGATCTTTTAAGCTACCCATTGTACCCACTGACTTATAGCCAGTGTTTCAACACGACCAGACCTGGGCGCCCACAAAAAATAAGAAATAAATTTAATACCCAAAATGTTCTGTAATCACTTTTATTAATCAAAAGTGAATTATAGAAATTTATCAAAGTACGTTTCATAATGGTCATTTCTGAAAAAAATGTTTTAAATCAAATAAGATAAGTACTTGACTCACACATGTACCATTCTTATACCGGTACGGTACTTAAAAAAAAAACACCATTCAGAAAACAAAACATTAACTTTCTTTGTTCTTAGGCTTAAGTCAACTGTAAATTTATTTTTCTTTTTAATTGCTTGGCTTGTGAATTTTACCATATAAATTACACATAACAACTTAACTTCAAATAGCTTATTAATTTAAATGTTGGCATGAAGAACGATGACTTACCCTCCTTATGATGCACAATATACTTTTATTTGTTGGTCGTTGGTTCTATGTTTTACCAAATAGTGTAAACATGTGTTTTAAAACACTATATTTTCAGAAATCTTCTTGGGGAAGGCCCCAGACCCCCCAGATGGTCGTTATATATATATATATATATATATATATAAATAATTGAAAACACATTAGTACCCTTTTAAATTCATTTTTAATTAATAAGCGACATGTTTCGACACTTAGGTCATAGTCATGTTTACATTTACAAATACAATAACCTACAATAAATAAATATATAAACTTATATTATATATGTATATATATTGCACCAACCTGTTCCAAATCCACGCCCATGCGACCAGAACTTAAGTAAAATGCCGCTTACCGGGTCAAGCAAATCTGATCCATTACACCTTAACCCTAGGAGTGGCGAGACAAATTTCAGTATATGGTTTGTGAAGTGGCACGCTTATTTTGGTGAATTTGTAAGGGGATTTTTCAAAAATCTGTATACAATTGATATTCCTAAGTAGAGATAAGCTATTGAATTGTACGGTACATTCATTTTGTTCGTAATAGTCAGTAGAATTCAAAAATGGCAATAAAAACCAATTTTAGGAAGGAGGAGTTTTAGAAAAATGTAAAAAAAACCACAAATATTTATATATATTTAAATTTTATTTTAAAAGCAAAAACTTGTCACATGTAATATAAATTTATTGCATGTGTTTAATCCAAAAAATGCAAATTGTACAGTTACCGGTAATTCATTTCTCTACATAGATGTACACAAAATCATAATATAGGCTACACAAAAGAATTATTTTTTAAGATTTACTAGCAACAATACGTAATAATTATTGGAAAACGTAAATTTCTGCAACTACACTTTGATAGATCCAAAAATGCCCTCTAATAATAAATCAATATCATAAATCCATACATTTTTTGAAGCCAATAATATTATTTTAAATAAGAATATTTATCTAAATAAGATAAGTAATAGAATAGTTTGTTTTCACATGAGCAAAAATGTAAACAAAACATTTGATCAGCTGTCACGCAAATTCACTGACTATTTATCCTGTTTTGGATCACACATGTGTAAATATTTATGCAAAATAATGAATAAATATTAGCCTACACCTAATGGGTCATTACGTATGAAATCAACCAATAAAAATTCTTTTCAACCTGACCATCTTGGATTTTGATGGATTTTGAGTCCTGAATCCAAATATTTTTTTTTAAATCTATGTTCATAGTTTCAAAGATATAAATATTTCAATATGGTAATATTTTTATGTTAAATTATTAGGCCTATGTATTAATTATTAATATTAATATTATTATTATTATTTATATGTTTAATATGTCAAAATGGAATAACATGCAGCACATAAGAAAACACTAAACTAAAACGCACATTACACCGTAAAATTACGGATAAAACTCACACTTCAGGAAGTTATCGGGCAAAAACTCACGACAACGCCGCCATTTTAGGTTAGACGATGACAAGTGTTCTGTTCTTTCAGCTTTGAAAAATCCAAGGCTTCTATTTGTGTGACCAGCCTGACAACATTGAATTATACTTTTCAAATTATATATTACAGTGGAGTCCCGATAATCCGAACTTCGGTAATCCGAAAGTCCGCTTAATCCGAAACCAAAAAATATATTTTTAAAATTTTTTTTATAAAAAAAATTAAAATTTAAAAAATTTTTTGAAATTTTTCGAAATGTTTTTGAAATTTTTTGAATTTTATTTTTAGTTTTTTTTATTAAACTTTTAACACAGTTAGCTGTACCTTGTCAACGTATTCTGTAGCGGCCGGGCGAGATAGACTTTTTTTTAGAGTATTTTATTAAATATTTCACCATTTTTGTTATTACTGTAACATTTTTCATTTTCGTCCGACAAATCACAAATGAATTTTATTACTGTAAGTGATAATGCTGCAGCCACTAGGTCTAGCCTTAAGTAATTTGAAAAACAATCCCGGGCTCGTGCCTGCGTCCTAAGACAAAAAAAAATTTTAAAAAAATTATTTTGTTTTTCAAAATGAAAAAAAACAAAAAAAAACGTTTAATCCGAAATATTTGGTAATCCGAAATGGGCCTGGTCCCAACCATTTCAGACTAACGGGACTCTACTGTATATGCGTTTCAGAGATCGACAATTTTTGTCGATTCACCTAACTATCCTCACGTAAAAATTGGCTATTTACAAAAAATGTTTATCAGCTTTGTATTATGGCACTTTGTACAATAATGAAAGTTTACTTCCTCCTTGTTGCAGTGGTATCACTTGTCTTTGCTAGAAACAAAAATTAAGTCTACTATGATTTTTTAAAATTAGCCTACTCATCTTTCACAATTTCACAACGAAACATGGTGGTTGCGAGTTTGCGTGTTATTTTCATTCAAATGTAACTCATGATTGGATTGATTACTTATGTTATAAGGTTCATTCTTACAATAAAATGAAACTTCCGAATTTCATCTTTCCATTGGTATAAGAGTAATGTAATTTTACCTACTATAACTGTGTGTAAACAAATTTTACGTTAATTGACAAATTTTGTTGACTGCCACTTCAGCAACACAGTTTGTGATCGATATTTTTAGTCGATTCACCACTCATAAGGTTAATTCAATAAAAAATCCAGTTTTATCCCTTCATGAAATTTCCTGTTCTGTCCCGAGTAAACTTTATATTGTATAATGCTTAATAGCTCTTTAAATTTAGCCTAGCTATGATACTTTCTAGAATAGTCTGACCAATTAGTGTTTAGTTTTTATCTGAAAATTTGTAAATAACTAAAAAAAGGATCAGAGCCGACAATCTCATTTCATCCCACATCCCGTTTTAAACCTGATCAAGGTCTGACGTAATTGAGTTTTGGGATAAAGATTCCATGTACCTACATGGAAACATTACTGACTGGGAAATTATTTATAACGTGACTATGGGAACCCATAACGATTTTCACTACTGTTAAAACAGAGAAAAAAGTTATCTGCTTACAAAAATTAAATGAACTAGCCCAAGTTTTGAATAAGTCTTTTTGTTAAAATTCTTGTCTGCTTGCTCCATTACCTTACATTAAACTTCTAAACCGTGAGTGAACATACAAAAACTAAGTTAAATAGTTATGATGTTCAACTCTTCAAAGAGATAAAGAAGAAACGTCAAATCATTTATTTCAAGGCATTTGGAATTCAAAGATTACAGTACCAAACGTCAAAGATATGCAACTCTGTTTTTTTAGCTAACAAATTTTAAAGCTAGTGAGTGAACCAAAGGTTCCTTTTCATTTCCTTTATAAGAGTATAATGTACTCTTGCGATATATTAGCACTTTTTAACAAATACTGCTAAGGGTATTTATGTAGATATGAACTTTTAGAGGTGATAAATGCTTTACTTCTGGACTCTGAGGTTTTTTAACACTTAGCCTATATGACTTCACCATAATTAACATGATTTGTTTGTTTTTCTAATAATCTGATGCGATATTGCTTGTTATGTGCAGGATTGATTTCAAAGAAGATAGCCATGAGTAATCCAGTGAAGAAAGTTCCGATTCACCTACAGGTAAACCTTTTGCCCAGATTCTTGTAAAGGCTGTGACAATTTTAATATATTTTTATTTTTAAAATTTGAAATGTTGTATGCCTTACTTTTATTTTCAATAAACAATTTGTTTGGTATATTGTTAACTGTGCTAAAAGTTTTATTTTCCTACCGTTACCTGACAAAGCGGGCTTCATAGCACCGATTTTAGCACGTAAAGTAGCTAATTGCTACATTTACTTTTTTGCCGCACTCCAGTATTCCAGCCAAACAACACTAAAGAATCTGCTTTTATTAGGCACGTAATATGTGTAAGCTTGAAAATAAGCTGGCAACACCTAAAGATACAACGACTACAATCAGCTAGTGCAGCGTTCCCAATTTCGTTCAGCGCTTGGATTTAACCTAACCTAAAAACGTGCTTTATAGTGTTTGAAAGACTGATTATTTTTATGCGTTATAGTAGGCCCCTAACTGTAGGAAAAGTATAATGTACAACGCGAGCACATTGATTACTAAGCTCTAGTTTTCCTATTGGATAGGCCTACCTTAATCTACAGACCAACCTTGTGGTGAAATTGTAAAGCTTAGTTTACAGTTTTTTTTAACGAAGAATATGATAGATTTTTCTATTTTAAGGATGGTTTTCCCATTACACAGTGCTTATTTAAATCATATTTTTCAGAGTGCTCAAAATAGGCTTCTTATCAAAAATGGAAAAATTGTGAATGCTGATGAAATAATCGATAACGATGTTTACATTGAAGATGGTGTCATCAAGTAAGTATGGCATGGATAACTAAATGTTTCTTCGTGGTGTTTATGTAAAAAATATCTAGGAATTTTAATAATTGAATGGGAGTAAAGGGTCACTGATTTGTCTGGCGCAGACAGTTTGAAAATTAAATAACATAAGCTGTAGTTGACTTATGGTAGCCTATATTTATGTCTCAATATTATAAATTGAAACAAGAAATTATGTTTATTAAAAATAGGTATTTACCTTCGTCTACAGCTCAAACTGTTGTAACTTGAGGATTATGTTTATTAAATTATGTTTGTCAAATTACCCCTACGTGCAGCACTATACACATCAGTCCCCTTGATGACATTTTCTATAACCTTTATCTTGTGCAATTGTTATGGAATTGGATCTCATCGTTCAGTTCCAGTATTGGGGAATTTCAAGAGCACACTGAACATCTAACACTAAAGATGTTACATTAAAGTTATGAATAATTTGTTAATAAATTTCCCCCTAGTAGAAGCTATTATCGTAGATGGCAAGGTGACACCTAGACCTTTATCCTATTTACTTTTTTAATTTTTATGACCCCAAAGGAAGACAGGTTTGTATACTGTTAAGTATTTTGTCCTCTGTTAAAAGATTTAGTTAGGTAGTAAAAATGTGAAACCTTTTCAGGCAAATTGGGCGCAACCTCATCATTCCTGGAGGTACCCGAACTATCGATGCCAGGGGAATGTTACTTCTACCTGGTAAGTTTTATAACTATAGTTTAAATATTGCTTTCACCACCGACCAATTTTCATCAATAAAACTCATTTTGGAAATAGGCTACTGTACTCCAAATATGAAAGTTTTTCTGAGTTTAAAAATTAACTTTGTTCATAGCATTCATGCAGGGTCAGTTATGATTGTCGGATCTCTAGCAAATCCATCAAAATTAAACTCATCTGCCTGTTATCTTATGGTGATGAGTAGCGTTACAGTACACTTCACATTTGCTTACCATTTACCATTTGACATTTGGAGTCTTCACCGCAGTTCTTGAAAACCAGGGAATTGTCAATCTCCTCAACCATTCTTCCTACTTCTTGATTTGTGTGTAGTATTGTAGTGTGAGTGAGTGTATGATTCGTGTGTGAACATAATTTTATAGTAATTTTAGTGATTTTATAGTAAGGTCGATTTATGAGGTATTGTTCGAGCTTTTTTTTTATATATATATATAGTGAGCGTATTTACATCTTTAAGTTTGTTAGGCAAGATGTTGCTAATTTTTATTCCCATATAATTAGGGGGTTTGCTGGTTTTTGTTAGTTTGTTGATTTGATTTGGATTAAAGTTTGATTTTACCCTGAGGTTGGTTGTGATCGTGACAGTTTTTATTCTAAGTTGAGGAGGCTTGATTTGAGAAAAAAACAATGATTTCATAAAGATATAGAGATGTTAAGGTGAGGATCTGATTTTTGATGAAGAGAGGTTTACAATGTTCTTCTGGCTCAACTTGTTCCAGGATTCTTATCGCTTTTTTCTGTAGAACTAGTATTTTGTTCAGATCGGTTTCATTGGCAGAGTCCCATGCAATTATGGCATATCTGATATGTGAGGAGAAGAGAGCATGGTACGCGGTTTTGCAGATCTCTTTGTTTGAGATTTTCCTGATTTTTCTCACGGCATATACAACTTGGGATGGTTTAGATTTTCTAGATGGTTGTGGCATGTCAGTCGGTTGTCCAATGTGATTCCGAGAAATTAAGCGTTTTGTTTATTATTTTCTTCTACCAGTGATGAATGGCTAGTCAGTGATAAGACAATGCAGGAACTGGTTTCGGCCCAGTTGACCTACCGTCTCTGGTGCTTGTTTTATCAATGTTTTATCTATTTTACATAACACTTCAAATGTGATTGGATATCCCTATGGCTTGCCCAAGTATTAATAGTAGTTTATTCTAACAAATGCGTAAAGATAGCCTTTACGACACTAGGAGAAAAAACTTCTACGAAAGTCGTAAAGTCTAATTACGCGAGTTGCTTACGCTACTTTGTCTACAACCGTTTTTTCATTACGCTTGTAAAACTTCATTACCTATACAATTGCTGTTACTTTTTTGGCAATAGGTATTGCTAGCAGCATTCTTACCATAAGTAGGGCCTACTTTCAGATACAAGCAGACACATATAACATATTGATACTTTTTACAACACTGAATGTCTTGAAACAGTTAATTTACAAAGTACGTTAATCCCATACATTATCGTTATTATCAGTGAAGGGTAATCAATAAAAAAATTGCAAACCGTTTAATTTAAACCTTTACTTCTATGTCGTCTATTTCACTTTAACTACAGTATATTAATTATATTTTTTTCAAAATTCCTTCAATAAACCTTCCTGCAAACTTTTGGGTTAGCGAATAATTTATTTTTAGGTTAAAGAAAGAACTTGTGGTTTGGAAGTCAAGAGATCAACAATAAAATTGCTTGTTACCAGCTAATAAACTGGTAATTGAAGCGTTAAAATTTTACATCTGTTCTCTCAATCCTTGAATCCCATTTATCCGTTACTTAACATACTAGTGCCGTAAAGTAAGTAAACAATGCAGTGAAGTGAATCTTTTCAATCATAAAAATTGAATTTAAAAGGCTGGCTTTTTAGATTGTTACATAACTGTTTTGTCATCAGGTGGTATTGATCCCCACACACATCTTGAGTTAGAACTGATGGGGGCGACATCTGTCGATGACTTCTACCAAGGCACCAAAGCTGCAATTGCTGGAGGAACCACGATGATAAGTAAGTGGCCAAACAATTACCAACTATAGGCCTAAGGCTATACATTTTTCATTCTAAGAATATTAGGGTAATAATTGTTTAACAAAATACACAAATATTTTTTCCTATAGTTACCTAAAAATGTACATGTTCTCTCACTGATTTGAGAAAGCAAAGTGGCCAATTTGCTCATCAATGTTAACATTGACAATGTTAACATTGTCTCACTCTAATTAATTTGTCTCACTCCAGATTTGCAACGAGAAGGCACGATATAGTGAGCGCGTAACATGCAGGCAACGTTGTATGCGCGCGAAATACGTTGGCAGCACTGGCTGTAAATCAGCTGGTCAAGCTGTTGTACTGTAGTATTTGTCACTTCACATTAAATGTTATATAAAAAGTTCACTTCTGTGTAAAAATAGGTTATGTTTCTTCACCAATTTATTTGTTTTATGGTAACTGTAGGAAAAGTATAATGTGCAACTCGAGTTCAAAGTACAATTGCCTCACTCGAGAAACCATTCCTCACTCGCCTACGGCTCGTGAGTAAGGATTTCTCTCGAGTGAGTCAATTGCTCACTTTTCTCACTAGTTGCACAAATAACTATTAACTTTGTCTTGTTGTGTCAGTTATGAAATTTATTTTGATGCTCTGTAACAAAGATTGCTATAAGGAAGATAAGTTGGAATGCTAAGTTTTTATGACATTTATTGCAGCATAAAATGAAATGTAGTATTTTAGTTGTGCATGGAATCAGAGGTGTTTACCATTAATGAGCATTGAACAAAATTATAACCCTTAAAACCCTTAAATTGATAAAACCCCTATTTTAATGTTTGTTTCCTTATGCCCCTCACAGAATTATCAATATACTTACAAGAAGGGGTTTTCTCTGTAAACCCCTTTTCCAGCTGTCCTACTTAACCAATTTTTACGATTGAGGTGTGATTTTAAAGCTTATGATTTAGCTGAGTGACAAATGGTAACTAAAATGGCAATTTCCTTTAGGCTTTGCCTCCCTAGTGTTCACTTTCAAAGATTTAATGGTGCTGACCAACTTTCAATGTGGCACCTCATTAATCCATTGCAATGGAAATACTTATTCATGACTCACTAATATAACAACCTAAATATTTTTCTTACTACAAATATTTTTACTCAGAGGTGAATTCGCCTGAACAACAAACCATATGACACAATCAGAAAGGAATATGGTATTCCAATATCACTCTTTTGTCATTCATTGTAAATATGAGTTCAATCTATGTTTAATTTATGTTCAATATTGTAGCTATGTTCAATTTTCGTAGTTGACTTTGCACTTCCACAAAGAGGGGAGTCTCTTGTTGAAACATACAACAACTATAGACAAAAAGCCGATGAAAAGGTTTGCTGCGACTACGCTCTACATGTTGGGGTCACATGGTGGTCTGAGCAGGTTAGTAATAAAACAACAAACAATCTTAAAAACCTTCAGAATACCTATCAAGATGATGTTGAGTTCAGTTTGAATCTGGTCAGCTGATCTCAATTTGCTTTTCCTGACTTAGTCCTAAAATGTGTTTTAGCACATACTTTTTCTTCGGTGAACACAAGAAAACTTTAGTTTGTTGAGCTTGAAATTGTCTGAATATTCCCTATATGGGAAATTTGATAAAACATTTATAGCTGATGATATTTATGCATAAGAACTAACTTAGAACTATTTAACATATAGAATTTTAAATCGAAACATACAACAAATTGAACAATTAGTATAGAATAGCCATTGCTTTTACAACGAATAAAAGTCTGTTATTCTGACAGAAACATGCCATTATTTACATAGCACTACTAGAGGATATTTCTAGAATTGAATGAAATAACATATTATTTCTTTTCTTTTTTTACATGCACTATTTACAATTATTGCTCAATAAAATCCAGAATAATTTGAAAAAAATCTAATTGGGTTGAAAATAAGTTGAAATTGAATTAGCACAGTGTGTTAGTTCTCATGATTCTAAGAAGTAGCAAATTAGCTTACGATCAAATATCAATAACTAAAAAAAAACATGGCTTATAAAGTGATGTACTCATTTTAAAGTTACTTTAATTAAGGCCTATTTAGGCAAAACCTACGGTTTTTATTTAAAATATACATGATTCAGAGTGTTAAGAGGAAAAAAACAATGGTTTCATTATCATACATAATTTAAAAAATAAAATGGCTCAGTTCAAAATTTAAATAGTCTTTCCGATAATTGTTTTATAATCCGTGTGGACTTGGAGGGAGGGACGGAAGGAAGTGAACTAAGGTCAAAGACATTGTGTGTCGTCACACCTCGTTGGTATTCATACCTGTCGCCTTTGAATGGTTGTGTACTCATGACCTTCACAATGGTTGGATTGATCGTTGTGTTTCATTCATTATTCTTTTCTTACAAGACCCTATTTTTTCTAAAGATCCCATTTATTATTTTATATATATAAGATAATTCTTGATAAATATTTGGTATTTTTTTATTATTTGAGTTTTAGATTCTTGTGTTTTTAAAATTAGTTTAGATTCAGTAGTGGTGACTCGATCTTTAAATTAAAAACTGAAATGAAATGTGTTAGTTGTCTTTTGCATTTTTACAAATTATTGACAATGTCATAAAACAGCTAAAGTTATACCATAGTCACTTAATGAATACAATATAGCTAATGACACACAAGGAGACATGTTATAATACATATTTTAAATATTACAACCAAATAATCTTTTTGTTAAGAAAAATTCAATGCATTTGGAATAGTGGAGGTGATTAAACCCCATAACCAACTAAATCTAACAGTAATTTGGCCAATTTGCAAACTGACACAATTAGCCTATTACAAAAGAAAACAGGTTGTTTATAAAATGATGGTGCAGAAAAAAAGTTTAATTTTTTGGTTACTGTACCTTGATTAAAACAGCTAATAATGCAAACAATTGGAAGAGCAGGTTTACAAGTTAGTAAACCTCCCTACCCAACGCATCATTCACAGGACAATCTTTTCTTATGGCTATTATTTATTTGTAAAAAAAATTTCGGTGGCCTCTTTTAACTTTGAATTTGCCTGTCCACTTGAGCCTGGGCATAAAATTTAAAAAGCAAAGCAAGGGGTGAAGGGGTGAACCAGTATAGTAAAAACAATGCTGATAAATATTAGTGGTTGCAGCGGGACTCAAACCCACGACATCACTGCCATGGTATTTGTACCGACTGACCCACCGATTCACCAAATCCATGTAAATCTATTAACCTACGACTATTTTTTACTTTAGCCTTTTAAATTTAATTTTTTAGTATCTAACTAATTCACTTTACCACATTGTTTACTTTACTGCACTAGTGTAGGCCTAGTAAAGTAACGGACCAATGGGGTTTAAGGATTGAAAGAAAAGAATTTAAAAAATGGTAATGCTTCGAAAGCAACTTATCAGCTGGTAACCACCAATTCAGTTGTTGATCTGTCACTTCTGCCGGAAACCCACACATTCTTTCCTCACACAAGGAAAATTAATCTAAAACATAATATGTGTGCAAAACTTTTTATTGACTATCCTTCCAAATAAAAAAAGATTGTAGCCTACGTAAAGTAGTATAAGTATCTCACATAATTATCTTTTTCAAACACTCGTAGAAGTTTGTAAGGCACTATAAAGTTCGCGCCTTAAATTTCTACCTGTGACGTAAAGAGGACTATCTTTACGCAATAATTGCGTAAACTACTATTACATTTGAGTCTCAAATTCTATTTTGAGTATTAATCTTTGTGAATCCTATAGTTATCCAATTTATACTTTTGGATATGTCATTTTAAATCTCGTGTGATTCAATTTGAGTATTTGTGTAAGATTTTCTCTATCATGTCGATTACTTATAGGTGAGCAAGGAAATGGAGGAGATAGTGAAGAACGGAGTGAACTCATTCAAGGTGTTCATGGCATATAAGGACATCTACATGCTGAAGGACTCAGAGCTGTACGAGGTGTTTGCCCGGGTGAAA